TGCATTGGTGACACAATACTGAGGAAAAATTCTGTGAATCTGAAGGCAGCTTGTCCAGAGAAAGGGAAGATAGTCACCTCCTCCTGCTTAAGCATAAAACCTGAATTAAGGGCACTTTCAATGTTGGGTATGCGTGGGTGTGTTTTAGATCTGAGAGTTTAGCAGCAGGTGAATAATTGGACACACTCTCCCTGCAATATTGCCATTGCTGTACACCCATGTGCCAGAGATTTGACTAATCAGCACAGTTGCGGAGGAAAAATCCAAAAATGATCTCCAGCTTTCATTGAAAGAAAGACAACAAACAGCAGCTACTGAGGTGCCGTTTCCTGTCCTGCTATAAATTATTTGATAATTGTCCTACTATTATCCTAAGAGCCGTGGTGGTGCAGTGGTTAAAATGCAGTATTGCAGGCTAATTCTGCCGACTGCCAGGAGTTTGATGCTGATTGGCTCAAGATTGATTCAGTCTTCCATCCTTCCGAGGTTGGTAAAATGAAGACGCAAATTGTTGGGTGGGCGATATGCTGACTCTGTAAACCGCTTAGAGAGGGCTGTAAAGTACTGTGAAGCTGTATATAAGTCTAAATGCTATTGCTATTGCTATTCATTCTGGTTACACGCAATTATTTGCAACGTTCCTGTGAGGTAGGTTGGGCTAAAAGAAGGTGGTTGATCGAAAGTTCTCCAGGGAGCTTCTGTGGCTGGAGGGTAATTAGAAACTCCTTAACCAACATTTAACCATATCAACCTAGATAGATCTGCAGGATTATGGTCCTCTGAATGCTTTTTCTATCTGTTCCAACAGCTTTTTTCCTACCTTCTTTTTCATTTGTAGATCATGCCATAAATTTCAAAATGAATACTCCACACTTTTGATGTGCTCCCAGATTGCACCCTAGCATACTTTGCCTGATCATGGTTTGATTCAAATCATGGTTTGATTCGAATCCTGGTTCCCAATAGGCCAAACCAGTTTTTCAAACTTATCAACTTTAAGAAGAATGGACTTTTAAGTCCCAGAATTCCCCAGCCAGCACACTGCTGAGGAATTCTGGGAGCTGAAGTCCATTCTTCTTAAAATTGATAAGCTTTTTAAAATCTGGGCTAAACTACAATGGTCTACAATGATTGTTGCTAAAGAAGTTGCTAAGCAAAATCAACCCCGTTGCTCATAAAACAAGTGATACTTTTTCCTAGGAACTGAGATAGCCACTGCATTCCCACTGATGTCATAACCTGAAGCTCATCCAAAGAATTTCCACCCACCCTCTATGACTTCAATGGAAAGAAATGCACAATTATCATTCATAAAGACAGCCACACTTCCATTCAGTAACAATGCTCTTTTTTTCTCCGCTATTGCAGATTATACAGATTGCCTGAAACATCTCCTAGTTTTTATACTGTATCTGAGTGCTGCCCCCTTGTGGACCAGTTGCACAACATTGGGCTCATGATCTTCGATCTGCTAGAGCAGAGATGGCTAACCTTTTTGCTGTCGTGTGCCAAAAGTGGGGATTGTGCAGGGGGTCACACACATATGTGCCCACATCCATAATTCAATGCACCCCACCCCACACATTCGTGAGCGACCCCCTGCGCTCCCCCCGCTTTTGGCATGCGATGGCACGGTGGGCCCAGTAAGCCCGTTTTTCACCCTCCCCAGGCTCCAGAGGCATAGGACCTAGATATCTTCGAGACTGCCTGCTGCTACCGATGGCCTCCCATCGACCTGTGCGCTCCCACAGAGAGGACCTCCTCGGGGTGCCATCAGCCAAACAATGTAGGCTGGTGACCCCAAGGGGGAGGGCCTTCTCTGTGGGGGCACCCACCCTCTGGAACCAACTGCCCCCAGAGATAAGGAGAATCCAAGACCTCGGTGCCTTCCGCCGTGCCCTTAAAACATTCTTTTTTCAGCAAGCCGGGCTGGCTTAACTTTTTTTCTTAACTTTTTAAATGTTTTAAATGGGTTTGTTATTGTTCTTAAATTACGGGGCCAAATTTATATATATTTTTTTAATACTATTTTAATGTTTGTAATTTATGTTTTTATTCGGCTGTACACCGCCCTGAGTCCTCAGGGAGAAGGGCGGTATCTAAATTGGATATAAAATAATAAATAAATAAATAAATAAATAAATAAATAAATAAATAAAAACAGCCTTCCCCCCTCCCCCACTGGAGGCGCTCTAGAGGCTGGAAACAGCCCGTTTCCCAATTTCCAGTGGGCACGGAAGGCCCGAAAATCAGCTGGCCAGCACGCACATGCGCACTGGAGCTGAGCTAGGGCAACGCTCGCGTGCCCACAGATATGGCTCCGCGTGCCACATGTGGCATGCGTGCCATAGGTTGCACACAAAGCCCTCTCTGTGGGCACATGTGCTGTCGCCAGCTACTCTTCTGGTTTCCAGCATGCACATGCGTGCTGGCCAGCTGGTCTTTGCGGGCGCTGGAGCACTGGAATATGGTGTGAAAATGGCCCCCAAAACAGCCTGAACACAGCCCAAAAAATGGTTTGAAAACAGCCCCCAAAAGGCCCAAAAAACAGGCATGTGCTCTGGCCAAGTGGCCTTCGGGTTTCTGGTAGCTCTGGAGCGTACACATGCATGTGCATGCACGCGTGTTCCAGTTTGAGCACTTGGTGCCGAAAAGGTTTGTCATCCCTGGTCTAGACAGTCATTCAAATAAATTTTCTCTGTGCTGGAGACTTCCAAATGGATGAGCCTTTGGTTCCCATAAAATCCCGCAAGTGAAATTAGCTATGAATTTTGTGAGAGCAAGGGTATTTTGGGTAAACAACCACAATAAGTTGAATCAATATGGAAAGTGAAATCTTGCTGTGTTTAAGGCTGAATTTCCAACCTATTAGGGCCCAGTAGGAATATCCAGTAAAAATTTGTAGGCATTCACCCCAAATAACTGCAATGCTGTGAGTGCATTAAAGTACCAAAGCTGATTGATCCTGCTTACCCCAATCACACCAGCCTTCAGGGTGTCCGTGACGAGCTTCTAGCTTTTTCTAGCATATTTACAAAATACTGCATTGTATTAACTGAGAAAAGGAGCTAACAGTCCATCAACTGACTGGTGCAATTGATAGCTAGAAGCAGAAGAATTTCACTTGCTTAGTGTAACTGTTTATACGAGGAGAGGTGAGATTGGAAATTTTGACTTCCTTTTCTCCTGTTGGGACATCTCTGTCAGCGAAGGAACAAAGCAATGAGCAGTAAAAAAAAAAAAAAATAGAAGTGGAGACCAGGGGGAAAAAAAACACCTGGTGGTCTCTCATCCAAATCCTAAACAAACAGAAGTCATCTTAGCATCCGAGCCCAGTCAAAGTTATGAAGAGACTCAAGGAAAACAGCAGTCCTCCTCCATCCTGGATGTTTAGAGATGTGGACTACGCCAGCCATAATTCCCAGGGAGACTGATTTTCTTAGCTGAGGACAATGGGACTTGAATTTTAAGACATCTGGAGGAAACTGAATTGTGAACAGTGAGACCAATAAGTGAGAAGCACAATTTGTGATTTCTGGGATTCAGTGCTAAAAAATACTGCATGGAAAATTCACCACTCCAACCATCCTTGGCAATTTGGTTATTTGGAATTTCTATGTACTCGTGTTTCCCCGAAAATAAGACCAGGGCTTATTTTCTTTTGGGCCCAAAATAAGCACTAGGGCTTATTTTCAGGGGATGTCTTATTTTTTCCATGTACAGGAGGCCTACTTCTGCTTGCTTGCAGGGGGGCAGGCCGCGTAGTGTGTTAGTGCCACTGCCACGAGGCAGGGGGAATGCAGCTGCCTCCCGCACCCCGCACCTGCTTAGCTCAGGGCCCCTGCAGCCAGGCCACCCATGCCCCGCCTTGCAGAGGCAGCTCCAGCAGCCCCATCCAGCAAGACCCTGCGTGGCCACCGGCCCTCTTCTTCTGCTTGTTCACGGCCACAACGGAGCAGGAGATTAAGCAACACACCGGTGCCATGACAAGGTGAGGCAGGTGGTGCAGCTGCAACATACAACATGAACTGGCTTACCTCAGGGCCCCCACAGGCAGGCCATCCGCGCCTGCCTCACTTTGCTGCCACAGCACCAATACCAGCACACCACTCTACCTCCTGCTCCGTTGCGGCTGCGAGCAAGCAGAAGTGGGCCTGCGGCCACATGGACTCCTGCTGCAGATGGCTGTTGGTGCTGCTGTCGTGTGGCAGGCGTGGCTTGGCTGTGGAGGCCGAGGTAAGCCGGTGTGAGGTGCATGTGGTGGCTCCACACACACACACACACACACCTCGTGGCCACAGCACTGCAAGCAACCAGATGGAATGGGTGGCCGGGTAGCTGCACAGGCTCTTAAGTAGGCTTATTTTGGAGATAATGTAAATTGGGGACATGTAAAAACTATTGCTATGTCTTTTTTTCGGGATAGGTCTGGGTCTTATTTTGGGGGAACAGGATAAATGTTTTCAGATCTTTCAAAGTGGCTTGTATTACAAATGGATAAAACGTACAGGAGGCAGTTTGGTCCAGTGGTTAAGACACAGCCAAGAAAATGGGAGACCATGAGTTCTAGTCCCGCCTTAGCCAGGAAAGCTAGGTGGGAAGCTTTGAGCCAATCACTCTCTCTCAGTCCAAGTCACCTCCAGGGTTGTTGTTGTGGGGAAAATAAGAGGAAGGTGTGTTGGATATGTTCGCTGTCTGAGTTATTTGTAAAAATCATAAAGGTAAGATTACAATAAATAAATGGAATTATTCTATCTGCTGTGGAAGGCAACGGTAAAACCCGATTAACTAAAATTAGTTTTAAGGATAAAAGTGGTGATTAAAAAAAACACCATTATTTTTATGTTACCATAAAGTCTTTTTTTTTTTTTTTTGCACTATAAATCTCAAGTGGCTTCTTCAGACTCTGTCTTTGCATTATTCAATTATTGTAACTTGTTCAATGAAAAGGTCCTTCTCTAAACAGGCTGTTAAGTCCAAATTAATACCCAGGGCACAAATGGAGCCAACTTTCCAATTTAATGGGCTGATGGGAGCAGAGGGGTGGTCCATTAAAGCAGAATGTCCACTAAACACAAATGGGATTTTATGTGTGTGTACAAGCGGCAGATGGGATTTTACACACAGGCAGACACATTTTGAGCAAAAACAGATTTTGTCTACCACCTATGTCTGTTAAATGACAAGTCCGATGTCTGTTAAACTAAGTATTTACTGCACAGGAAAACAAGGTTAAAGAATACACAAATAGCCATAAATACATTTGTTGTCTTCTGGAACTGAAAAAGTCCAAAGCTACTACATTTTTCATCTAAAAGGGGTTTATTTCCAAAATGGGTACCAGCCCCAACCATTAACCCTTAACAACTTTTATCCTCCTCCTTTTCCCAGAAGCTAAATGAAAATTGGCAATTTCCAGGTGTGTTGGATTACAGCTCCCGTAACCGAAGGAACAATTTGAATTATTATCCATTGGAGAAGGAAGTTCTAGAAGAATTCAGGAAACAGTCATTTCCTGTGGAGAATGGAGTAGGAGGGGGAGCCTAAATTAGAAGGGAAAAAAATTAGTCATATATAGTCCTCAACTTATGGCAGTTCAAAGTTACAACGGACCTGAAAAAAGCTACTTACGACCCAATTTTGAAATTCTGATATCTGCTTGTTCTCCCCACCCCTCCTTTAGGGGTAGGGGAAGGTTCCTTCCTTTGTGGGGAGGAAAACCAGTGTTTAACTTCTGTTTTCTGGCAAAAAAACGCCCCATAGAGAACAATCAGTTCATTTAATGAAAGCAGCAAAAAAAGGGCATAAAATCGGATCTGATTTACATGATGACCTGTTTTTGGGCCATCACAACTTAAGAACGTAATTGCAGGGCTCAATGACGGTCGTAATTCAAGGGCTACCTGTAGTGCATGGTAAAGATGGCAATCAAATCTGATTCTTTCCTCTGCCCTCTGATTAGGGCAGTGTTTCTTAACCTTGGAAGCTTGGAGACCATGTGGACTTCAATTCCCAGAATTCCCCATCTGAGAATCCAGGAGGACACCCTCCCTGTAGCTGTATACAGCTTTGCACATACAGTCTGATCATGCAACGTTGAAGTCCTGCAGGGCAGGGTAGAAAATCTTCCTCCATGCAATCTTTGAGATGTCCAGGAGGAAGTCAATCAAAGTTCTAATAGAATATGTGCAGCTTAAGTTGAACGATAAGAGATGATGTTGTCTAGTTGCGTAACGAAAACATCCGCAAGCAAACAACCAAGCTGAGAGAGCACCAAGGACTCTACAGTCAAGAATAGACCTCCCTGAAGACCCATCACCAAGCAATGTTGACCAGGGGTCTCCAACCTTGGCAACTTTAAGACTTGTGGAGTTCAATTCCTGGAGGAAACAGACTACCTCGATCCTTACCAATCTGGTTTCAGGCATGGCCACAGCACGGAAACGGCATTGGTCACCCTAGTAAATGATCTCTGGCGGGCCAGGGATGGGGGTTGTTACTCCATCCTGGTCCATCTTGACCTCTCAGCAGCTTTCGATACCATCGACCATGGTATCCTGCTGCAGTGGCTCAGGGGGATGGGGTTAGGAGGCACTGTTTTACAGTGGTTCTCCTCCTATCTCTCTGGTGGCCTGCAGTCTGTTTGGGCGGGGGGGTCAGGGATGCTCCCAGAGGCCTCTCACTTGTGGGGTGACTCAGGGATCGGTTCTCTCCCGTGCTCTTTAACATCTACATGAAACCGCTGGGTGAGATCATTCGTGGTTTTGGGGTGAGGTATCATCAATATGCTGATGATACCCAGCTTTACATCTCCACCCCTGACCACCCTAGGGATGCCCTTTCCGTGATGTCCCACTGCCTGGAAGCGGTGCAGGTTTGGATGGGGAGGAACAGACTTAAGACTCAACCCTTCCAAGACTGAGTGGCTGTGGATGCCGGCATCCCAGAATCTGGAGGTTCCATCTTTAATGATCGGGGGAGAAACTCTTGCTCCCTCCGATAGGGTCCGCAACTTGGGTGTCCTCCTAGATTCTCGGGTGTCCTTAGATGACCATCTGACGGCTGTAACCAGGGGGGCCTTCACACAAGTGCGTCTTGTGCACCAGTTGCGCCCTTTTCTAGACCGGGATGCCCTCGCCACGGTCACTCATGGCCTCGTTACCTCTAGGTTGGACTACTGTAACACCCTCTACATGGGGCTGCCCTTGGGATGCGTCCGGAGGCTCCAGCTAGTCCAGAACGCAGCCGCGCGGGTAGTTACGGGGGCATTTAGATACTCCCGTGTAACACCTCTCCTGTGTGAGCTGCACTGGCTGCCGGTGGCGCTCCGGATACATTTCAAGGTGCTGGTGCTTACCTATAAAGCCCTTCATGGCTTAGGCCCGGGGTACTTGCAGGACCATCTCCAGCCGCTCTCCCATCGTCCTGTGCGCTCTCACAGAATCGGCCTCCTCAGGGTACCGTCGGCCAAACAATGTCAGCTGACGGCCTCCAGGAGGAGAGCGTTCTCTGTGGGAGCCCTGACCCTCTGGAATGGATTGCCCACCGAGCTCAGGACAGCCCCCGACCTTCTTTCCTTCCGTCGTGAGCTGAAGACGTGGCTCTTCCGTCAACTCAACTGATCAGTTTGGGGGTACACTGTCATAATTTTAAACTGTTTTAATAGGGTTGCTGATTTTAATTTTATTTCATTGTGATTTGTATTGGAATTTGTCATTTTGTAAGCCGCCTTGAGTCCCCAGGGAGAAAAGCGACATATAAATAGCAATAATAAATAAATAAATAAAACTGTCTGTGGAATTCTGGGAGTTGAAGTCCACAAGTCTTAAAAGTTGCCAAGGTTGGAGACCCCTGATATAGACAACAACAGAGTTGAATGATCTGCTCCCTTCTCATAAGCCTAACCCTCTCCAAAGGACAGTCAAAGATGGTGACACAAATTTAACTTGCCTAACAATTGTGTAGTAATTGTGGCTTCCGCCCAACTTTCCATTTTAATCGGGCAACTCAGCATCACCTAGGGCCTGACCTAGAGTGATGGGAGTTCTAGTCCTATGCACCTGGGAGGCACCAGATTGGGGTAGATGGGTATAATAAACTGGTTAAAGCAGACCATTTCCAAGATGCATTTGGATTCCAAATCAGCAAACATCAGGTCTTATGTAAGCATATGCTGACGACAACCACATAATTGCTGAACATTTCATCTCAGTCAGCTGTCCTCCCACCTTTGGTGAAGCAGCCAAATAATAAAGCTGATCATCCAGTCCCTTGATTTCCACTCCTTTAGCCATCAACCCATTTAATGTTCTTCTATCACCATGACAACCAACCATTTACAATGACATGGCCAATTTTTTTTTATCCTTCTCTTTTCGCAACCAAAAAGGTTTACTAAAAACTCCCACTATTTTAGTTAACTGGATACCAAGGCAATACTCTTTTCTCAGTTACCAGCTGCCCAAAACAACCTATTCTGGCCACAGGATGCAACTGTCCGTGCAACTGATCGGTCAACCACATTCTTCAATGTTGCATTGTTGCTTTAGAAACCAAATTATCGCCCCACGGATTGCCTTGGCAATCAACACATCCTTCTGGCAGTTAATTATCCCAGCCAAACCAAGGGATTCAATTTTGTAATTTTCAATCAATTGATCTTTTGATTTGGAGTGCTAAAACTGTTGTGCTAAAACTCTGTAAAGATTCTCAGTCATTCAGGTCATAGTTGTCCCAAAAGTGCTTTTTTTCAGGAGGCAACTGGACTTCCTTGTTTTTTTTCTTTTTGAAGACATTTCGCTTCTCATCCAAGAAACTTCCTCAGCTCTGACTGGATAGTGGGGAATGGAAGGATTTATATTCCTTGCAGACAGCTGGTCCTTTGCATCGTTTTAGAGGGTTGTTGGAAGCAAAAGGACGCAGATTGCAAGGAATGTCAGAGCTGAAGAAGCTTCTTGGATGAGAAGCAAAACGTCTTCAAAAGAAAAAAAACAAGAAAATCTAGTTGCCTGTTGAAAAAGCACCTTTGGGATATCCTGTTATGCCTTTCTGATAATCCCCAATATTGAATTGTCTTTAATAAGCAAAAGACCCTCCAGTTATTTAACTCTCGTCATTCCCAACTATGAAATACTTCTCAGCCAAAGAGCTTCTTCTACCCTCCGTCAACCTTTTTGACATGGTCCATCAGCTCTCACAAGGAGTTATTCCTCCATCGGATTGCCTTAGGTAACCCTAGCAACCAAGGTGATCCCCGCTATTCATCCAATCCTTGGCCCTCTTCTTCAAAGCAGGCTCAACTCCATTATGATTCTCTGCCATTCTTTTCATTCTATCACCCATTGCCATCCCATAATCCTCACGGAACAGGGGTCCATCCGTGGAGGGGGCAGCAGGGACAGCACAGACGACGCAAGGGATTGCGCCAGTGACGCGGACATCCTCTGAGGAGCGAGAAGTGGCTCTGCCACCCCATCGCCCGACAGGCAGGCAAATGCGGTCCAAATACCTCGGGGACGAGGCTTGTCCCCAGGGAAAGGCGCTGGGTCCCCGTGAACCCGCTGGTGACGGATGAGAGTCGAGGATCGGCCAAAACTCTTGCCACAGCGAGCGCAGCGGTAAGGCCGAGCCCCCGGGTGGGCCCGCTGGTGCACCGTGAGGTAGGAGCTGTCCCCGTATCGTTTGCCGCACACGTTACACTTAAAAGTTTTCTCCCCAGAATGGATCAGCTGGTGGCGGATGAGATGGGAACTCTCCGAGAAGGATTTCCCACACTGGGTGGACCGGTACAGCTTGACCCCGGCGTGTGTGCGTTCATGGCGCACCAAGTCCGACCTCTGAGAGAAGCTCTTGGTGCAGGATCGGCACCCAAACGGTCTCTCCCCCGTGTGTACTCGCTGGTGTCGGATCAGGTGGGAACTCAAGAGTAAACCGCTTCTCGCAATCGGGGCAGTCAAAGAATCGGGGAGAGATGGTACCCACACGGCGATAGCCAAGACGACAATGTTGGTTACCCCAGGAACAGCTCCCCCTGGAGGTTTTCTCCCTTTGGAGCCTGGCTTTCCTGTCCCCGTTCTGGATATTCCTGCTGTGTAGAGCCTCAACATGCCTCCTCCCAGTCCAGGAGTTGTAGAGGGACCTTGAGGTCCTGGCCTTCATAGGCAAGTGAAGATTCTTCCTCTTCCTCCTTTTCTTCTTCTTCCCAGTCTTCATTCTCTGTGGTCCTGCCATCCTCTAGCAAGATCCAAAAAGATTATAAAAGAATAAATATGAATGTGTTTTTTTTTAATGAAATGTTTATATTTTCAGTTACTGAGAGAGAGATGGATGGGCTCTAAACCTGACGATGTATAAACAATGATTCAATAAATGTTTTAAACTCCATTTTATGTTTCTGCTATGAGCCGTGGTGGCGCAGTGGTTAGAGTGCAATACTGCAGGCTACTTCTGCCAACTGCCGACCGGCTGCAATTTGGCAGTTCAAATCTCATCAGGCTCAAAATTGACTCAGCCTTCCATCTTTCCGAGGTGGGTAAAATTATTGGGGGCAATATGCTGACTCTGTAAACCGCTTAGAGAGGGCTGTAAAGCACTGTAAAGCAGTATATAAGTCTTGTGTCCCTTTCTGGATCGGGACTCCCTACGCACGGTCACTGAAGCACTCGTCACCTCCCGCCTGGACTACTGCAATGCTCTCTACATGGGGCTCCTCTTGGGGTGCACCCGCAGCCTCCAACTGGTCCAGAATGCAGCTGCGCGGGGGATTATTGGAGCGACGGGGCGCTCCCATGTGACACCTCTCCTGCATGAGCTGCACTGGCTCCCGGTGGTCTTCCGGGTACGCATCAAGGTGTTGGTGACCACCTTTAAAGCGCTCCATGGCTTAGGGCCTGGATATTTACGAGACCGCTTTCTACCGCCAATTGTCTCCCACCGGCCAGTATGCTCGCACAGAGAGGGCCTCCTCAGGGTGCCGTCAGCTAGACAATGTCGGCTGGCGACCCCCAGGGGGAGAGCCTTCTCTGTGGCGGCACCTGCCCTCTGGAACAACCTACCCCCAGAGATACGCATGATACCGGACCTCCGGACTTTTCATTGGGCCCTTAAAACTCACTTATTTCATCTCGCCGGGCTGGCTTGATCCCATCCTTTGGTTTTAATTTGAAATTAATTTTAACTGGGTTGTTTTAAAAAAAAAAAATTATTTTTTTATTTTTTTAATTTGATTTATATGCCACTCTTCTCCGGAGACTCAGGGCAGCTTACAATGCGCTAAGCAATAGCCTTCATTCTTTTGTATATTTATACAAAGTCAGCTTATTGCCCCCACAAACTGGGTCCTCAATTTACCTACCTTAGAAAGGATGGAAGGCTGAGTCAACCGTGAGCCTGGTGAGATTCGAACCTGCAGTAATTGCAGGCAGCTGTTCTTAATAACAGGGTGCTTTAGACCATTGTGGGTCGACATTATTCAATATCTTTTAAACCGTTTTAATTTTTGTATGCTGTGTTTTTACTTTGGCTGCCACTGCCCTGAGTCCTGCTGGAGAAGGGCGGTATAAAAATCAAATAAAATAAATAAAATAAATAAATAAGTGCTATTGCTACTGCCAATAGCGTGGACTGTAGATACCATCCAGCCAGCCATTTATTCAATTCAGAGTTTTGCTGTCCCCTCACCTGTGTGGGCATCTTGCCTGGTTTCCTTTTCTTTTGGTTCTTGGCCCAGGTTTTCATTCCTAACCTATAGTTCTTCCCTTTGCTCCATCAAAGAAATCATGCTGGCTCTCCCTCCAGGAAATCCTGCCCGAGACAGAGAAAGAAATAGGCTGTGAAATCTTCTCATCTCCCTGTTCTATTGATCAACCTCCTCTTCTTTCCTCTCCACAAGCATCTCTAGTGGGCCATCTTCTGGGATGCAGGAATGGATGGACCTCGATGGTCCAACCCAGGGTAACAATAGTGGCAAGAGTGGAAGATAAAGACTAAAGACACCCAAATTCAAATCCTCCCTCGGTCATCAAGATCTACCTCCAAGCTTCATAAAAGGTAAATATATTCCTCGACTGTCAAATATATTTCTCTGACCAGCATAGAAAATTTGCTTCCAATCTTTAGAGCAAACTTTCTTACTGTCTCTATCGACCTGCTTCATAAAAAGTTTATTTTATTCTTTTTATTTTGCTTTTAACAGGGACTCCTTCCTTTACTTTATCTTTTCAACAACCCTGAAAGTGAGCTGGGATTGAAGATATACTACAGATAGTTCTCGACTTACAACCGTCTTTGAGTGACTGTTCAAAGTTACAATGACACTGGAAAAAAATGGCTTATGGCTGTTTTTCACACTTACGACCATTGCCGCATCCCCGTGGTCATGCAATCAAAACCTAGACACTTGGCAACTGACTCATTTATGACAGCTTCAGTGCCAATGTAACTTTGAATGGTCACTAAATGAATGGCTATAAATTGAGGACCATCTGTATATAAACAGAGAGGGAAAAACCCATTCCTTTGAGCACTGAAGATGTTACCTAGTTGAGTAATGAAATATCTGCAAGAAAACAATCAAGCTCAAAAAGCACCATGGATTCTACCACTCAATCCTGAGCTACACATACTCTCTTCAATTGATATATCATCATCTTCATTTAACGACCCCATAATCCCTTGCGAGGTGGAGTCTGGGCAACTGACTGGTAGTAAGCAGAGTGTTTTAATGGCCAGATGCCCTTCCTGTAGCCAATGTGGAGTTTTGTTCAGCAGATATATTCTCAGTGTGCCCAAAGAGAGAAATATCTGCCTCTACCTAGGACTGAACTCACGGCCTCCTGATTGTGAGGCGACAGCTCCACCTCTAGGCCACCGCACCACTCCCTGATAGTAGGTAGGTAGGTAGGTAGATAGATAGATAGATAGATAGATAGATAGATAGATAGATAGAAATACATAGATAGACAGAGAGAGAGAGAGAGAGAGAGAGACAGAGAGAGAGACAGAGAGAGAGACAGACATAGATACAGATAGATAGATAGATAGATAGATAGATAGATACATACATACATACATACATACATACATAGATACATAGATTAGATAGAGAGAGATTAAAGAGAGAGAGATTAGATAGATATAGATAGATAGATAGATAGATAGATAGATAGAGAGAGAGAGATAGATATAGACAGAGAGAGAGACAGAGAGAGAGACAGAGAGAGAGATAGACATAGATACATAGATAGATACATACATAGATACATAGATTAGAGAGAGATTAGAGAGAGAGATTAGAGAGAGAGAGATTAGATAGATATACATAGATATAGACAGATAGATATACAGATAGAGATAGATAGATATAGATACATATATATATATATATATATATAGAGAGAGAGAGAGATAGAAATAGAGATAGATAGATAGATATAGAGATAGATAGATATACATACATAGATAGATAGATAGATAGATTAGATAGATACATACATAGATAGATGAGAGAGAGAGAGAGAGAGAGAGAGAGAGAGAGAGAGAGAGAGAGAGTATTAGATTAAATAGGATTAATTGATGTCCATCCTTCCTCTAGGAGCCTGAAGACTTCTGTCCTCACATTAACCCCACAATAACTTCAGGGGCAACAGTCGTGGCCTCCTCCAGGCTTGCACAGTGGGGCATTTTCACTAGGGTCTCTCCAATCCCCTTGGCCCATTTCACAAAAAGCCTCTTGGTGCATCTTTTCTCAAGCTTGTCCAGCCCTACCCATTGCTACGATGCCACTTCTACTATTCCTGTCTCCAAGAACAATGATGCCATAACAGTGCATGCCATTTACCCATGAGTGGGTCACCCTCCTCCTTGGGGCAACTAAACAGGAAGGTGATTTATATTGACAGGTATCGGATGAGGCAGCCCTTCCATCCCACCATGAGGGGATTGATAAACTGCCCCTCCCCATTCCTGGTAACAAGCCATGGAAATTCCCAGGGTCCCAACATTGGCTCTATCCTATCCCATCACCCCTGTTGAGAGAGAGAGAGAGAAAGAACACAGAATGCAGAATAATAGAATTGGAAGGGACATTGGAGGTCTTCTAGTCCAACCCCTGTTCAAGCAGGAGACCCTATCCAGGTAGTCCTCGACTTGCAACAGTTCATTTAGTGACCACTCAAAGTTACAATGGCACTGAAAAATGTGTCTCACAAATCCATTTTTCTCACTTACTACCGTTGCAGCATTCTCGTGGCCACGTGATCAAAATTCTCACACTTGGCAACAAGTTCATATTTATGAAGGTTGCAGCATCCCCGGTGGGTGTGTGTATGTGTGTGTCACACAATCCCCTTTCGCGACCTTCTGACGAGCAAAGTCAATGGGGGGAGCCAGGTTCACTGAACAATCGTCTTACTAATTTCACAACTGCTGTGAATTCACTTAACAACTGTGGCACGTCACAAAATGGGGCAAATGAACAAATTTCTCCCTTAGCAACATAAAAACTGGGCAGAATAATTGCGGTCGTAAGTCACCTGCATACCCTGAAAATAAGGCCCTGTCTTATATTTTTTTGAACCCCGAAATAAGCGCTTGTCCTTATTTTCGGAGAGGTCTTATTATGTTGGGGTGCGTGGAGCAAGGTGGGGCTCCTCTTGCCGTCTTACCTGATTTCCAGCTCTGCATTTAATTTTTTTCGGGGAGGGCTTATTTTCGGGGCGGGGGGAGGCTTATCTTAGCGCATGTGCTCAAAAGGCCGATTGGGGTTATTATCAGGGGATGTGTTATTTTCGGGGAAACAGGGTACCATTTCAGACAAGCGCCTGTCCAGTCTCTTCTTAAAGAGGGAGTAGGAAGGGGGGGAGGAAAAAGTGGGAAGTGGGGTAGAGAAGAAGAGGGGGAAGGGGAGGGAGTAGAGAGGGGGAGGGGGAGGGAGGGGGAGAGGAAATGAGGAAGAGGGGGAGAGGGAGAGAGGGGGAAGAGGGAGGGAGAGGAAAGGAGGAAGGGGAGGAAAAGGGGGGAGGGGTTAAAGGGGGAGGGGGAGAAAGGGGGGAGGGGAGGGAGGGAGGAAAAAGGGGGGAGGGAGAGAAGGGGGGGGGGAAGGGAGAGGGAGGGAGGGAGGGGGAGATGAAAGGAGGAAGGGGAGGAAAAGGGGGGTGGGGTAGAAAGGGGGAGGGGTAGAAAGGGGGAGGAGAGGGAGAGGGGGAGGGGAGGAAAAGGGGGGAGGGAGAGAGGGGGAGGGGGCGGGAGGGAGGGAACTAAAAGGGGGAGGGGTAAAAAAAGGGGGAGGGAGGAAAAGGAGAGGGGTAGAGAGGGGGAGGGCGAGGGAGGGGAGGGAACTAAAAAGGGGGAGGGGTAGAAAGAGGGAGGGAGGAAAAAGGGGGAGGGGATAGAGGAGGGGGAGGGCGAGGGAGGGAGGGAACTAAAAGGGGGAGGGGTAGAGGAGGGGGAGGGGAGGGAGGGGGAGGGAGAATGAAAGGAGGAAGAGGAGGGAAAAGGGGGGAGGGGTAGAAAGGGGGGGGGTACAAAAAGAGAGGGGGAGAGGGAGGGAGGGAGGAAAAGGGGGGGAGGGGTAGAGAGGGGGGAGGGCGAGGGAGGGAGGAGTATGAAAGGAGGAAGGGGAGGAAAAGGGGGGTGGGGTAGGAAAGGGGGAGGGGTAGAAAGGGGGAGGGAGAGGGAGGGAGGGAGGAAAAGGGGGAGGGGTAGAGGGGGAGGTGGGCGGGGAGGGAGGGAAACTAAAAGGGGGAGGGGTAGAGAGGGAGAGGGAGAGGGAGAGGAAAGTACGGAGGGGGAGGAAAAAAGGGGGGAGGGAGGGGTACAAAAGGGGGAGAGAGAGGGAGGGAGGGAGGGAGGAAAAGGGGGGAGGGGTAGAGAGGGAGAGGGAGGGGGAGGAAAGTACGGAGGGGGAGGAAAAAAGGGGGGAGGGAGGGGGAAGGAGAGTGAGAGAGAGAGAGAGAGAGATCTCCCCATTTGCAACCTACCTTCCTAAATCCCACCTATCTGGGCAGAGGGAGCAAAGATTTCCCCCTCGCCCACCCCAATTTTCCAGCTGGGAGCCCAAACTCTACCCAGACTAACTTCTGCTAGGAAAAGGCAACGATACTCACGCATAAAAAGTCCTCCCTTGAGACGTGGGGTGGGCAGGTGGGATCCAGCGTCCCCCCAGCCCGCTTTTTCCTCGGGCAGGGGGTTCTGGGGGGGCGGGGCTCTCAGAGACCCCCCCCCTTTCTCCACCCATTCCCCCCCCCTCCAGCTGCTGGAAAGGCACGAAAACCTCACTGCCTCTGTGTGCCCGTTCGCGCATGCGCACGTTCCAAGCCACCACCATCCCGCCGTCGACAGGAAGTTCCCATCCCAATTCAATGTCCCTCCAAGCTTCATCGGCTGCCTTCTTTCTGGTCTAGGAAGTGGAGGAGACTCCGGCTCTATCATTTTAACTCCTCTTCTGACACAGGGTTCCTTTTTTTTTTTTTTTTTGCATCTGATGGTTTGGGTCAGCGGATCCCTGGCAGTGGGGGATGCGTTACAGCCCCAGATTTTGCAGGGAAAAAAAATGCAAAGAGAGAGAGAAAGAGAGAGACCTGACAGCCATTTGTCTGCAATGGTATAAGGGTTTTCTGCTTGAGCAGGGGGTTGGACTAGAAGATCTCCAAGATCCCTCCCAACTCTGTTATTAAATCCTGCTTGCAGAATTTCCACGGTGCGCATTCCGGCTTGGGGAAGAAATAGTTCCGTTGAGGATTTGGACTCTTGCGGTTATAGATGCCTCCTATGGGGTTTTGGAACAACATTTCAGGCAGAGTTCACACAACCTGCTCAACCAAACAAGCAAAACAACACTTTGCCTTCATGTGGCATGTGAACCTGAATGAAGGTGAGAAAGCCTTACAGTTCCACATTAGTATATTTTGGAGGTTTGGCCTGTGGACGTTGCGTGCCCCCAGATCTTACTTTGAAGTTATGTGGTGTGTATGAAAAGGTGTATGCTTGGTTGTACCCTGCCTATGAATCTTACTTAATTGCTATTTGTAGAATAGAATTCTTTATTGGCCAAGTGTGATTGGACACACAAGGAATTTGCCTTCGGTGCATAAGCTCTCAGTGTACATAAAAAAAATATAAGTAATAAATCATGATCATAGTCATAATAAATATATTCATCATGAATCATAAGATACAACCCTTTGTGATAGTCATAGGATACTAAATACAATCAAAATCATACTAGGAAACTAAATAAGACAATATGAATCATAAAGATACAAGCAACAAGGTTATAGTCATAAGTAGAAAGGAGATAGGTAATAGGAAGGATGAGAAGAATAATAGTAATATAGTTTTTGTAAACAGTGTTGTGGGAATTAGTTGTTTAATAGAGTGATGGCATGCGGGGGAGGGGGGATGGAACTGTTCTTGTGTCTAGTTGTTTTGGTGTGCAGTGCTGTATAATGTCGTTTTCACGATAGAAGTGGAAACAATTTATGCCCGGGATGTGAGGGGTCTGTAGATATTTCACAGCCCTCTTTTTGACTCGTGCTATTCATTTCTAGTAAAAAGGCTGTCACTTAAAAGTAAGTTTTCCTTTCAGTTGAACTCAAGTTTCCAGGAATCCCACAGATCAGCTGTCACCAGCCAATCATCCGCTGGCCACTGGTGGTCTGCGAGAAAATTTTGGTGGTCCACAGAAAAATTATTTGCATTTTTTATATTGCACTAAATACTATTTATCTTTTAAAAAAATTCATATTAGTGGTCTGCGGGATTTAAAATTATGTATTTAGTGGTCTCTGAGGTCTGAAAGATTGGCGACCCCTGCCATAGATCCAGTATTTCTCAACCTTGCCAACTTTATGGTATGTGGACTTCAACTCCCAGAATTCCCCAGCCAGCCATTACTTTAAAGTAATAACATCTTAAAGTTGCCATGGTTGAGAGACACTGGCTTAAATCAGCCATCAGCAGTGAGTGTCCTTCAGTTCCATTCATGGTAGAGAAGATTTTCCACTATTCCTTTGGAAGTCTAATCAACTGGTTTAGATGATGGTGCACGTACAGAGAGCATCAGGCTGGTAAAAGCTTATCTTGATCTCTTTTTAGCTTTACACATTTGAAGATCTTCATCATAGCATTTGTCCAACTAAGCCCACCTCTTTGTGGAGAACTATTTAAAAATTAATATCCTTTCTGCAGGAGCATCATGCCTATTTTAAAAACTTTATTTTTGTTTGTCAGAAATGTTCCTAATACATACCATGTTTTTCCAAAAATAAGGCCCTGTCTTATATTTTTTTGAACCCTGAAATAAGCACTTGGCCTTATTGCCATGTGCTCAAAAAGCCGATTGGGCTTATTATCAGGGGATGTCTTATTTTGGGGAAAATAGGGTATATCCTTGTTTCCTTCTTATTTGTTTTTCACAATAATTAAGTGCATCTTCTGTCCAATTTCTCCCTTAAAGATAGAACTTTAGATTGCAAAAAGTGGTTAGGGAGCAAGTTGGTTAGGTTATACTTATAGCAAGCAAGTTAAATTAACTAGGGTATAGAGAATAGTTGATTTAATTTTTTTTTTCCGGGAGTGCTCAGGCTAAGACAAAGTGACTGGTCCAGATTCTCCTTAAATTTCATGGCTGAGTGAGAATTTGAAAAACACATCAGCAATTTTCCAATCTCAGTTTAACATTCTGATTAAGATATGACCCACTATGTAGAACACTGTCTGTGACTATAACACTGATGGTCAGAACTAATTTATTTTACAGGGTCCTGTCTGACAGGTTTCCAGAAAGGTTAATATTAACCAGCGTCACTCCATGTGGATGCAGTAGTAAGCCATCACATCAATTTTTCACAATGCTGCAGGAGAATTGTAATACTTCTGTAATACTACTGTATCCAGGGCATTATGGGAAATCAAGACACATGTCAGCAACATCCTCTGCCTTCTTTTATCTCCCAGGCTTACTGGTTACTCTGGAGCCGAATGTAGATATGGCTGTTAGTAAGGCAGAAGCATAGCTGCTTCTACTACTATGGCATGGATTCATAGGCTGCTCCAAGCAAGACATTCCTTCTCCTTTAATGAACAGAACGGATCACCTGAGAACTTCCAATGTTAGTATGCTTTGAATCTTTCCTGCCTGACCAAGAAATATCTTGCCCATGATTATCTGATGAGGCCCTGGAAAATTAAGAGAACAGGCCTGTTTACCAACTATATGAATGCAGCAAGAGAGAAAGGAGATTAGCGGTGATCAATTGAATTAGAAATCTGTGCCATTAATAATACCCAGGTTTCAAAATTTGGTAATCAGTCTTCAAAGATACCAATTCCCCTGGGCTTTTTGACAATTTCAGAAGTTATCAGTATGTCTATCTGAAGCACTATCTCTTCTTTTTTCTTTCTTTTTTTCCATAAGGACCAATTTCTAAAGGGGGGGATTCATGTGACCAAGATATCCACATAAGCCAGTGTTTCTCAACCTTGGCAACTTTAAGATGTGTGGAGTTCAACTCCCAGTGTTCATTATTGTAGACATTGAAAGAAGATAGCCTTTGGTGGGAAATCTGACATTTCATTAATGAACAGAGGTTTTAGTGCACTCAGCTTATGCCTTTTAATAAAATGTGTTCATTGGAAAAGATGCTTCCAGACTCCTGATCTTTTTCTCCCTGTTGAGATTGTGAATTATCCAACTTTCACAAGGAGGCATCTTCTAAACATTTATCAGTAGAATATTTATAGCTGAGAGGAATTGTAGAGTTCCTAGTGCTATCTGAGCTTGTTTGTTCACTGCAAACATTTCATTACCCAACTAAGGAACATCATCAATGCGAGTGTGAGGTTTGTGGCCTAGTGATAATGTGCCCTAGTTGGCAAATAAAATGTGTGCAAACGAACAACTGAAATCAGCACCAAAAACATTTTCAGACTGCATCTCAGATGGCAAGAACAGAGACACAGAAATACTGAAGGCCACAGAACCAGCCAATATTGGAAGAGGGCATTGGTGGCATGCGAGATATCCTTGGTTGTTTTGTCCTTATGGGGGTCTCGACAGTCCAAAAGTGTTTTAAAGTGAAAACAGCTCAGTTCCACATTCAAAACAGGCGATTTCACATTAGAAGTCACCATGTTTGACCACTAGGAGGCAACATTTAGCTAGGGTTTATTTCTATGAGATTTAAGGGAGAAAATTTACATAGATGAGCAGGTTAAGTAATAATGATAAACACACCAGGTACAGTTGGTTGAAAAGAACGTGTGGATAATTGATGTGGCATTACCAGGGGATAGTAACATCAAAGACAAAGGATTGGTGACAATCACAAAGTATCAAGATCTGGAAATTGAAATGGAAAGATTACAGTATGGCATAAATTGAATGTGGTAGTCCCAGGGTGATGGGCACACTGGGTGCCATGCCCAAAAAATCTTGGATGGCACTTAAAAAATTTGCATTGATAAAATCAGTCAATTGCAAAAGGCCACACACTGCTTGGATCCACAGATAAACTACACCAATAAATTGTGACAACCGAGGGTTTTTGGGAAGAAATTAATGCATTAATGCATAGTCAAGCCACAGCTAAACTTAAATTGCCAGATTCAGGCTTTAGCTCTGGGTATGTTGCTATTCAGTTGCAATTAGAATATCCATTCCTAATAGAAATGTTTATCTCAGCATTTGAAATATTGCTCATGAATTGTATCTTGTTTAAAGCCACTGGAACACAATTTGATGGTTTTTTTAAAAACAAATTAACAGAGTTGGAGGGGATCTTGTAGGTCATCTAGTCCAAATGGATTTTAAATGGATTAATTACTTAGTCCACCTTAAAATGGCCATTATAAATTTGAGTTTTAGCAGTTTCGATCTATTTCTGAATTCACTTTGACAACTGGTCCATTTTTATTTGCAAGTTCTTTCCTCTTTAAGAAAAAATCCAAATATCTCCTCCTTCGTAAAGGGAAAAAAAAAACTGCACATGCTCAGACATACTCAAGACCAAAACAGAAAGGGGCGGTTCTACACATGTGGATTGGCGTAGGCAGGGTGTAAATTGGTAATTAAGATAAGCCACAGTTAATTATTAATTTCAATTGAAAGTGAGGATCTGGTCAGTCTTTGAAACGCTAAAACCACTTCCCACAGTTCTATTCGACTGAATTTCCTCTCCCCCCACCCTTCGCCCACCATATTAATTGTAGTCCAGATGCTCTCCAAAGGTATAACGATATGAAGGGACGGGCCGTGAAGAGAAGAACTACATTCCCATGATGCTTAGTGGCCATCTTACATGGAGCCCAAATACTTTGAAAGCAAGACGCAATACGATACGGTGCGTAAGCAAAACTACCCTTCCCGTGAAGCAAGTGTCGTTCCAGCGGCCGGCCGCCATCCCAGCTGTAGTCCAAAACACCTCTTTTGGCCATAGCAACTTAAAGGCACCCGAGGCATCGAGCCGGAAAATAAAACCACACTCCCCATACTGCCTTGCGCGGAACTTTATCCTGCCATATTAACTGTAGTCCCTATTTCTCCCCAGCGCTCATAGAGCCGGATGTGTCAGGCCCGGTAGAAAAAACTACCTTTCCCATCAGCCCGCGCGCGACGAGCGTTCCCCTTTTGGGCTTCCTGGGGCCGCCATGATGGTTTTGTGTGTATATATGTGTGTGTGTGTATGCGAGGATGTGTGTGAGATGCGTGCATCAGTATGCGCGAATGAGTGAGTGAATGCGAAAGAGGAGGAGGAGGAAGGAAGGGGAGAGAATGAGAGAGACGGGAGAAGGGGGCCCCGCCAGGACCGTGGAGCCTCGCTCTCTCCTCTTGGAGGAGTTGTGGCGGGGTCTGAAGCCCACTCCCCGATTTGCCAACCTGGAGGGGGGCGGGTGGGTTTAAAGCCCTCCCTTATGTGGGGGGAGGGACAGCCGGGCAGCGCAGAGCCCCCTTGAGGGAAGGAGCAGGGAGGGAGGGAGGGGGGGGCACCAGCGTCTCTCTCTCTCTCTCTCTCTCTCTTAGCAGGGAGGGGAGGGGGAGAGCTGAGAGAGCCCCCCATCCCACCCAACCCCGCAGGGTCTCGCAGGGTGAACAGACCCCCCTCCCCAAAAAACACCCCCTTGGCATTGCTTTGAAGGGGGGGAGGACTCTTTCTGGGGGGGGGGAGGACCAGCCATGCCCTAGATGAGCCCTTAATTGGAAAGGAGGGACAGGCTGTGTGAGCTGATCATTGGGGAGGGGGCGCAGCTCCAGACACCCCCCCTCCCCTTTCCTGCTGCAAAGTGAAGGGAGATGTAGTTGGAGGAAGAAGCCAGAAAGGGCAGAGCCCCTTCCTCCTCCTCCTCCTCCTCCTCTTCTTCTTCCACCTCCAGCAAGAGCGAGGGGAGTGGTCTTGCCTGCATTTGAAAAGGGGAGGGTGGGTGTTCAGGCAACTGAGGAAAATCTCAGTGGTGGGCAGAAGAGGAGGAGGAGTCAAGAGGAAGCCAGGAGGGCTAGTGGGGGGGGGGGACTGGAGGGTGCACCCGCCTAGGGAATGCCAATGCTCTTATCCCAAATTAGGGGTGCAGGAGGTGTCCCCCCCCAATAGGTTGTGTGTGTGTGTGTGTGGCCCAGTGTGTGAGCTCCCTCTTTGATTACTGCACGGTGGGCAGAGGGGGGGTGGGTGGGTGAGAACTCTTCTCACATATCATCCCCTTGTTTTCTCCCAAGGGCAAAGCAGGAAATAGTGGAGGATAGAACTGGAGAGGGGGAGAGGTGTGTGTGTGTGTGTGTGAGTGTGTGTTTGGGGTGGGGGGGAAACCGCTGCTATGAATTTGTAATAGCCTCTTTGGGGAGATTGGTCCGCCCCTCTTCCCCTTTTTCCACCCCACTCCTCATTTTTGTTGGAGAGGGGGGGGGTGACTCGGAGCCGCACGCAACACACAGATCCTTCAGCAACTGGCTGGATCTCCTCTCTGTGTCTTCTTCCCCCCCCTTCCCTCACTTCCCACCATGACAACAAATCCAGCATTAGAATCGCCATCCACCCCATGGCCACACAGCAGGTGAGTAACCCATCTCCCCTACCTTACTTCCTAAGCCTTTCCTTGGGTTTTAGGAGAAAGGGAGGGGGGCTCCCCGCCTCCATTCTCCTCCCATCCTCTGGCACCTTTTTGCCTGTGTCTGCCTGGGTTGTGTGTGTAACAATTCTAAGATGTGCTGCATCTTTTCTCTTTTGGAGGCTGCTGATGGACGGGGAAGAGTCTTTGGTGCCTAGATGCGCTTCCCAAAGGTATGTCTGTATCCTTCCTCTGCTTCCTTCCCCCTCTCCCTCCCCCTCCCTTTTTGGCTTTGCCAAAGAATGTTTTTTTTCCCCCCAAGGAATAAAACCTCCGACTCTTTTTTTTTTAAGGGGCACATTCTTTCTCCCTTCCCTTCCCCTCCCCCCAACCGAATCTTCCCATTCCAAATTAATTAGCCCTTCTCCTTCCAACCCTGTGGAGCTCAGTGTTTTAAGCAGGGCTGCCCATGCTTTGCGAGCCCACTTCCCAAAATATAGATTTGTACATGGGTAGATTGTAGGTAATGCACACAGCATGTGAAAGCATCACAACAACTCAGATGCAGAAACCAGGGAGGGATGTTAAGCTATCAGGCTGGTTGCACAAATATTTTTTTGCTGAGGGTGGAATCTAGAGCTTCTACTGCCTCTCCTTCCTCTTCCCCCACCCCCACCCCGTGCCTGATCTACTATTGTGTTTTCCTCCTTTTCTTATTCATTTTAATCTCCTTTGTTGTTTTGTTTTCTTGGATATTCTTTCCTTTCCAGCTTCTGTTCTGTCACCTTGGGCTGGAGTGTTCAGATTTTTGTTGTTCCTTCCGTGAAAGGAAAAATAAAGAAATCAAGATTAGGCTGTATCATTTCGCCAGGTGTTTTTCCAAGGGACCTGGTCACCTCTAGGTAGGCTTGAGCTGAGAGGTAGCAAGGAGAGGGGATGAGCAGTGTGGCTTTGGGGTACGCGGGGGCAAACGTGGAACCAAAGTTTCTCCTCTATGATTTCCAGGGGAAGGAATTACCAGCCGTAAAACGCTCTTGCCTCTGTGTATTTCTCATGTTTTAACCGGGGAGGGGGGGGGGGGAAAGGAAGGGAAGAGAGGGGAGGTGCCGTTTCACGCCGATTTCAGGGGCCCCTCTATAGAGGATGGCTCCGGTTATGTCCATCAGGAAGCGGCGTGATCCAGAAGGATTGAGCCGAGGAGGATCGCCACCACCAAACAGCTTGACTTAAAGGCTTTTCAAAGAGAAAAGATGTGTCAAGCAGGTTGCAGCTGGCGGAGAGAATTGAGGGGGAACCCAGCAACCGGCATCATGGAAGGCCAGGTTGAGGTGTGTGGGAACCCTTGCCAAGACCGGGCCTGTCAGCTCTAAAGCCAGGCTGGGGCGTGATGAGGTATCGGAGCCAAGTTCCCTTATACATACATTTGTTTTCCCTTTCAGTGTTTTGCCTGCTCTTAAATGCTTGGAAGAAAGAGGTGGGGTGTGGGGTGAAATGATGGCAGGAGACAAAATGTTCCATCAACAGAAAGTGTGTGTGTGTATATATAAATGTGTGTGTGTGTGTGTGTGTTAGGTAGGATGAGTACGGGTTGCTCAAGCAGGAGAGAGATAGTCATTCATCCTTCATTGATTCTCTTTTATGTGCCTTCTTCCACCTAACTGTATCTTGCTGTCTCCTGGGTTAATCCTCAGAATAACACAGATTTTTTTGTGTGTGTTTTTAGAAATAGAAAACTATTTATTCATTGTAGAGTCTGATTCTCTCCCTTTCTTCCTTATTAGAAATCAATAGGTTTTCCCAGCTCTGTTGGGACACTGATAAAAAGACCCCAGGCAGCTTATGAAGGCATCTCCCCTTCACAATATTTCTATTCTATTTTATTAGTTCACGATTTTCCCTTTCAGTATGGAATTGGTTTGTTTCATTTCTGACCCTCAGATGAGATGAGTCTCCAATATAGTTAATTCTTTTGCTGTGTCCCTTTTCTCCTCTCCTCTCCTCTTGTTTCCTGTCACAGTCAAAAAAATTTAAGGGCCATGCCATATGCTAAATAAAAAATAAATTTTAAGGGCCACATTGCATGGTTTCATTTTTAAATAGAAACCAAAAAAGGAACTTGAGATTTGAACATGGCAACTGTATTTTTTTCTTTCTCTCACAAAGTCTGAAATAATTTTGTCCTGACCTGTGGCATTCTGTATTCTCCTGTCCCCCTCATAGCATTGGTTGGCAATGATAGGACCTAAATGTTGTTGGTTATTCGTATGAAAAATAGGATTTAAAAAAAAAATCATAATCTGAGCCGCTAATCTTTGATCCTTGATGGACCTAAGTTATAGTGGTAGAGAGCCTCCTGAATTATTATGTCTTTTTTCTTACATGGTTAAACCACGCACTCATCAGTGGAAGTTTTTATATGTAAGCATGTCCTCCGTAGTAGTTGCAGTTGATAATAGAAAGTTGCTTTGCCTGCTTTCTTTTGTATTTCTGTTTTTCCATTATTCCATCCTTCTCTTATCTTTCTGGACAACAGAAAAAAGACCTGAGAAATATATTGCTTTTCTATTATGCTGCCATTTTTTTAAAAAAAAGCAGAGAGAATGCTTTTGTCTTCTAGAGTTCTTGCCTTCGGATTCTATGATTCACAGATTTTCTGGTTGACAGATCTACAGGGGGTCTAACTGAGGATTGATCTGCAAAATTTCAACTTGGGTTTTTTTCCTTTCATTGTCCTTGCCAGTCTACGCTATCTCAATTTCCTGACACTTTTCTCAAATTCTACCCTCACCTTTTCAGTCGCACTTTCTTCTTCTGAAAGTAGAACTCAAGTTCTTATGTTTTAGGAATCAATCTGGAACAATGTTTTTCAATCTCAGATACGTTAAGATATGTGGACTTCAACTGCATGCTGACTGGGGAATTCTGGGAGTTGAAGTCCACACATTTAACCTTGCTGGGTGAGCTTTGGGTCTGATTTTGATTTGTGTTTCATGGTTAAACCAAATTAGAAGCTTTTTTTTAAAAAAAAAATAGGCTCGGGATTTTGGGGACATCGCTTACTCTTCTCAATTCGCACAACAAATTTATTCTTTTTTATCTTCTTGATATTGGCTCTCATAAGATTGAAATAATTGCTGTCAAGGATATTTTTTTTCTGAAAGAGTCCTATTTTGGATAATGACATCGAAACAGAATCTGCATATCTCTAAATCATTCTAAAGCAATACAGAAAGCAGCTTTTTTATTTCATTTATAGATTCATGTCTCCTCTTTTATCTCCTTCCTGTTTGTTGTGTCTTGGGAAAAATTGGCCTATTTTCTTTTTGGCTTCTTTTATGAAAACAATGTGAGAATATCTATAAACCATGGTGACTTTCATTACATTGGTGGGAGGAGAAGACAGAAAGTAAAAGAGCCCTATCATTTGATTTAACATAATAGATCAGGGTGCCAAACTCGCGGCCCATGGGCTGGATGCGTCACGCGCTGGCCACGCCCACGCCTGGTTTAACAAAGGGGGGGGGAAGTTGCGATACGTCACGTGATGACGCCGTGATAATGAGAGTTTAACACCCTGTAATAGATCCATTGCATTGTGTCTGTCTGTCTGTCTGTCTATCTATCTATCTATCTATCTATCTATCTATCATCACATTTCTGAGACTGCTATCTCCCTCAAAGAGGGAGATGTTGAAACGAGATCCAACTCTCTAGCCATTTCAGGATCTCTCCCAGACTGTTCTTATATCAGTCTTCCACATTTTTGGAGATGTGGCACTTCAATCCTGTAATCTGCAATGACGTCCTACCATTTTTATAACTGCATATTGTTTTCCCTCTTTTACTGTGCCTACCTCATTTTTTTTTTTTTTTTAAGGCTTTTCTTTTTCCTCTTTTCATCTACAGGTAGTCCCTGACTCACAACAGTTCATTTAGTGACCGTACGAAATTGCAACGGCCTTGGAAAAAAAGCGACCTATGACCATTTTTCACAGTTAAGACCGCTGCAGCATTCTCATGGTCACGTGATCAAAATTCAGAGGCTTGGCCACTGACTCATATTTATGAGGGTTGTAGTCTTCCCAGGGTCATGTGATGGCCTTTTGTGTAATTAAAATGGGGCAAAACTCACTTAAGAAATGTTTCACTTAACAGCATAAATTTTGGGCTCAATTGTGGTCGTAAGTCGAGGACTGCCTGTACATTATTTGCATAATACCCTTAATGAAGATGGCAAGACCTACTTTGTGGTCAGCTGCTGCTAATCACAATGGCTCTATATTATACTCATTGTTATGTAATATAGTGCACCAAATATTTTGTCTCCAATGGAGTTCAGGATGCTATGCCAAAGGGGCTGTCAGAATCACGTTTTGCGACCTTCTGACAAGCAAAGTCAATGGGGAAGCCAGTTTCACTTAGTAATTTAACAACATCAGGGATCAACTTAACAACTGTGGCAAGAAAAGTCATAAAATGGGGCAAAATTCACTTAACTGCCTTGCTTAATAACAGAAATTTTGGGCTCAATTGGAGTCATAGGTCAAGGACTACTTGTATACCTGGAAAAACATGGTTGGATTTTATTCACCTCACCTGGACGACAACAGTTGCCATGATACATTGATCTTTGGACTTTAAATACCTGTCAAAAATTTATTTTTACTTTTGCCATGTTTGTAACCATCATGATGTGGTTAAGATTTGCCTCTGATTTTAGCTGAACCCTAGTGGAGGAAATACCTTGGAAATTAGGAGGCTATAAACAAATCACTTTTTCCCCCCTGCTCTAGCAAAATGGTTTATCCCTGAGATGCGAATACGTTTTGAGGAGCACAGTCAAAAAACTAGCCACACGCAAAAGTTCTGATGTTATTCTTGAGGGGAAAAGTGTTCCTCTGTGCATGTTGAGAGTTTCTTCCAGTGAGTTTGGATAATTTTCTCCAGTTGCAGAGCTGAATAAGCATTGTTATGTGTAGCAGTATAAAGAGCAGCCTATTCTGCTCTTCGATTAATCCGTGTTTTTCAAACTTGGCAACTTTAAGATGTATGACCTTCAGGCTGGGAAATTCTCAGAGTTGACCTCCACACATCTTAAAATTGCCAAGGGTTGAAAAACAGTGGATTAAATCTGCGTTCTTTTAAACAACTATTAGGCAGTGCCAGAGTTCTTTAAAGAGGCAGAAGTTTTCGCCTAATTGGCTCCTAAACCAGTGTTTCTCAAACTTGGCAACTTGTAGAGATGTGGACCTCCCAACTTTCAGAATTCCCCAGCCAGATGTTTTCAAGCTGCCAAGATTGAGGAACGTTGTCCTAACTTATCTAAGGTTGTGGTAGCAGAGAAATTTCAGTTAGCTTTCCAGGAGTTCCTGCCTTTGAGCTCTTTGCATAACCTTCAGTGTTCACACAGACAGTCGGCAACTCATGATCTATGATCAACTGAAAACTTGAGAATGACCCTGAAAAATTCTGTTAAACGGCCCTGCTAGAACTAAATCCAGTCATCCAACTCTCTATGCCCCTAGATTTGGTTTTCTTTTTTTCATAGAACCGATGTTCTTAGATCAGTGTGCTAGTTAATATCATCGCACCTATTTTGTGTGGGAATGTACAAGTAGTCCTCGACGTACAGCCGTTCATTTAGTGACCATTCAAAGTTACAACGGCACTGAAAAAAGTGACTGATGATCATTTTTCATTCTTATAACCTTTGTAGCATCCCCATGATAATGAGATCAAAATTCAGATGCTTGGTAACTGGTTCATTCAACTCAGTCGCAGTGTCCTGGGGTCATGTGATCTGCTTTTGTGACCTTCTGAGAAGCCAGACTCACTTAACAACCAGGCTACTAACTTGTCAGCTACAGTGATTCATTTAACAACTGTGGCAAGAAATGTTGTAAAATAGGGCAAAACTCACTTAAAGAATTTTCACTTAACAACATAAATTTTGGGCTCAATCATGGTTGTACGTTGAGAACTACCTATACTGCTGATTTTAAACCATCCTTTTAAATCAAAAAGTGATGCAACATTTTTTAAATTCAGATTCATTTTGCTGTGATTAATTTTGACTTTTTTTTTCTCCTGTCCAGTATTGGTGATGGCTGATCATGTGTGACTTTGATTGCAGGACATTTTTCTCCTTAACAATGTGTTTTCTTTTTCTCCCTAATGGGTATATAGGTAGCCCTCGACTTATGACCACAATTGAGCCCAAAATTTCTGTTGCTAAGCAAAACAGTGGTTAAGTGAATTTTGCCCTATTTTACGACATTCCTTGCAGCAGTTGTTAAGTGAATCACTGCAGTTGTTAAGTTCCTAACATGATTATTAAGTGGATCTGGCTTCCCCATTGACTTTACTTGTCATAAGGTCATAAAAGGTTATCACGTGTCCGCGGGACACTGCAACCGTCATAAATCTGAACCAGTTGCTAAACATCTCAATTTTGATCACGTGACCAAGGAAATGCTGCCATGTTCATAAGTGTGAAAAATAGTCATAAGTCACTTTTTTCAGTGCCGTCATAACTTTAATGATCACTAAACGAACTGTTGTAAGTCAGGGACTACAGTTATATGAGACTCTTTATTCTTTTGTATTGCACGTCCTTCTCCTCCTCCCCCACTCCCACCTCCAATCTTCATTGTCCGTCTCATCTTGCCGATCTGGAGCACCATATTTACCTGCCTGGTTTGCCTTTTTTGCCTTTCCTCCTTGCAGCCCAGAGAGTAGCTGAAGCGGGACATAGCCAATGTCGTCCAGCAAAGGGGCAGGGGCTGGAGCTCGCCGGCGGCGGACGCGGTGCCGGAAGTGTAAAGCGTGCCTGCGATCAGAGTGTGGGGAGTGCCATTTCTGTAAGGACATGAAGAAGTTTGGGGGTCCTGGACGCATGAAGCAGTCCTGCCTGCAGAGGCAGTGCACAGCGGTAAGCGAGAGAGTCAAGGCAGCCAATGCCAATGGTGACCCATGGCAGGGAATTCTATTTGCATGCAATGTCTAACTGTTCGACTCCTGCATAACAATAGCACTTAGACTTATATACCGCTTCACAGTGCTTTACAGCCCTCTCTCAGTGGTTTACATCTGAGTCCTCATTTTATCAACCTCGGAAGAACACGGAAGGTTGAGTCAGCCTTGAGCCAGTCAGGATCGAACTGCTGGCATTCAGCAGAATTAGCCTGCAATATTGCAATCTAATCACTGCGCCACCAGAGCTCTTCAGAACAGTCGACTTGGTGATGCTTACTAGTTGGGGTGCCTCGTCTTGGGAATGGGACAATTCACCGCGGCCATTTGACCACGGTCAACACGCCACGACCAACTCACTGGGGGGCAATTCAACACGGCCAACTTGCCATGAGATAAATCACTGCAGGACAATTCAACAATTCAATTTAATTATTTAAAATAATTTTTGATTTTTGCCATTCGCATTTCATTTTTTTCTTCGGCATCGTTTCTTTAATGATTCTATTCCACTATTTCTTTGATATTAGTGTAACTCTTGCCCCACAGCAAATTGGCCATGGTGAGTTGGCCGTGGTGAGTTGTCGTAGACCCTCTCGTCTTAAAGGGCAAAGGTTCCTCATCCTGTTGAGGATGAAGAAAAATGCGCTCCAGATCTGATCTCCCTCGGCTAAATATTCCCAAATCCTCAAATTGGAATAGAAAAAGAAACAGAGACACATGTTTTGCCTCCAGCTCTCCCATAGCTTAAATAAAAAGGAAAAAGAATGTACGTTTCATCCCTAACCCGTCTTCAGGATCCCAATTCTAGAGTTTGTGTATATTTCTTGGTGGGTTAAAAAAAAGAAGCTTTTAAAGTGCGTGGAAAGTTAATTTGCCCGAAGAGTTTCAAACTAGTTTTCTTGACATGATTATTTTTCCATATAGTTCTTGTCTGCAGACTGATGTGGTTTAATCCTTAGCTTTTTCTGCATCTTTCACGTCTGCTGAGAGCTGTAAGTAAAGGCAGAGATGTACTGCACAAAGCAAATAAACACAATCCATATCATGTCGAAAAAGCTAGAGTGTTAAGTGGTTGCCCACTTCATATGCTAGCTTTCTGCATGCAGCCATTTCTTTCTTGAACATTCCCCCGCAGAACTCCACTTCCCTGAGACGGTGCAGCTCAGAAACTGAGTCATCCAAGGCCTTTTCTGCATGTATGAAGTTGTTCTGGAAAATCAGGTGCAGACCCCTCTCTCGTGTCTGTGTGACTGAAGTTATGTTTCATCCACTAGGCTGCTATGAACCCCTCCTGTTTCCTTTTCTATCCTGTCCTGTTTCTTCCTGTGGCTGGGACCCATATTTTAAAAACAAGGTGCAAAATGTGTTTCACACGGAAAATATTGTAAGCTGGAAGCACCCTGTTTAGAAAACTTCCTGTGAGACGAGAAGCGAAAAGCTCCCTTCCTTTTGGATTTGTAATGTTTTAAGTGCAGCTTTTAAAGTCCAGTTTTATTTGTTGCTAAAAGGCGAGCAAAGGAAGGTTTGTGGACGGGGTCCCAGCTGGCCTCCTTTGGCTCAGCTGCCTCCAGGAAAATTCCCAAAGACGATTGATGTCTACTAGGGGTAGTAGAAAGAGCTTTCCTGCTTGATTACTGCAGGCTGCTACTGCTGACTGCCGGCTGACTGCAGTTCAATTCTCGCAGGCTCAAGGTGGAATCAGCTTTCTATCCTTCCATAAAATGAGGACCCAGATTGTTAGGGGCATGATACTGACTCTATAAACCACTTAGAGAGGGCTGGATGACGCTGTGAAGTGGTATATAAGTCTAAGTGCTATTGCTATTTTGCATTTCTTACATCTGACTTCCGTCCTTTGTCTCCTTGCAGCCAGTTCTACCTCACACGGCTGTATGCCTGGTCTGTGGGGAGGCCGGGAAAGAGGACACAGTAGAGGGTGAAGAGGAGAAGTTCAACCTGTCACTCATGGAGTGTACCATTTGCAATGAGATTGTGCATCCAGGCTGCTTGAAGGTGAGAGAGGAGAACCACTGCATAGTCCCCACCCCCAACCCCCACTCAGAAATATCTCACCCACTCCCTTCACCTGCACCGGTCTTTCTCTTTGCAGATGGGAATCGCTGAAGGGGTCATCAACAACGAAATTCCAAACTGCTGGGAATGCCCCAAGTGCAAGAGAGAAGGCAAATCAATGAAAGTAAGTGGTTTGGGGGGGGGAGGTGGGTGTCATCCTAGAGAAGGGAGAATAAAAGAGTGGGTGGGATAGAAGCCCCTTCAGGATCATTTGCTCTGAAACCAGGGGAAAGCAGGGTGGGTGGGGGAGAGAGAGAGGAGGATCCATTTGGGTCTCTTAAGAGTTTTTTCCCCCTTATTTCGTGTTTTAATTACTCACACCCATACCTTGGATTGGCATCCTTTTTCTATAGTTTTTCCTTCCCCCTGAAGAAGAGTAATGCTCTGTAGCTAAGACAAGTAGTCCTCTAGTTATGACTGGCCACTTAGGGACTGTTTAAAGTTACAATGGATCCCCCCTCTCCCCTCCCATGGTTCTTACGGCTACCACCCTTCATGGTTACATGATCGCATTTTGGACACTTTCTGCCTCTACTCACAATGGCCATTTGTAGCATCCTGCAATCCTGTGACCATGATTTATGGCTTTTTTCTTTTTCTTTTTGCCGGAAACAGTATTCATTTCAGGTTTCCCTGCCTATTGCAGACAATGACTTAACGATTGCAGTTGCTTAATGATCCCAACAAAAAAATATCAACATATGGGGTCAGACGTGCGACAGCCTGCTTAACGACTGGCACAATTTACGACTGTGATCCCAGGCTCAATGACAGTCATAAGTCAAGGACTACCTGTAAAGATGAGGACCATCTGTAGGATAGACCCTCTGCTTCGGGCCTTTGTGCAGAACAATTTGGTTGGCTCCATTTGATGCGTTGTCCAGAAAAATCCTTATCTGGCCTGCTTCCCTCAGCCCTGCCGCTGAGCAATGTTTTTGTGTCCTGAAAGCATTGGTGAGGATTGGACAGGTTGAGTTGGAGAGAGGTTTTTCCGTGGACTGGAGAAGGTGTCATTTTGTGTGCTGCCTGCATCCCACGGATGGGGCTTCGCATGTTGGCGCGGACCAGTTTCTGGCATGCCATGGACCAGGGGTTGGGGACCCCCTGGGTTAAGCCATAAACAGCTGTTTGGTTTTGATTGAGCGTGCCCGGTGAAGGCATCCTTCTTGTGGCTTATTCATCAAAATGGGACGGAAAAAATGAGAAGCTATGCACAGTGTAAGGGACATGGTGGCTCAGGGGCTAAGACGCTGAGCTTGTTGATCGAAAGGTCGGCAGTTCAGCATTTTGAATCCCTAGTGCCGCATAACAAGGTGAGCTCCTGTTACTTGTCACAGCATCTGCCAACCTAGCAGTTTGAAAGCACGTTAAAAAAAAATGCAAGTAGAAAAGTAGGAACCACCTTTGGTGGGAAGGTAATAGCGTTCCATGCACCTTTGGTGTTGAGTCATGCCAGCCACATGACCACAAAGATGTCTTTGGACAGCGCTGGCTCTTCGGCTTTGAAACTAAGATTAGCACCACCCCCTAGAGTCAGGAACGACTAGCACATATGTGCGAGGGGAACCTTTACCTTTACACACAGCATGTGAGCCTGTTTCTGCCTCCCTTCTGTTCCCCCTCTCAGGATTCAGGGGATGGCACAGGGAAGCGGCGTTCGGACAATGGTGAGGAAGGGGTCCGGTGGAAGCTGACTGATGAGCCTGCTCAGAACAAGAAGAAATTGCCACCAGCACCGCCTTTGCCCCCGCCGCCCTCTGAGGAGAGTCCAGTCCAGACGGGTGCTCACAAGCGGAAAAAGGAGCTCCCAGCCCCCGAGACGGGACCCAAGAAGAAGGTGAATGGCTTCAGCCTATGACTGTTAGGCCCCATGTTGTGTCTGCAAGGCCAGGATCCTTCTCACTCTTTAGCCTACTCGGTGTGCTCTTGTTGGGCAAGCTTAAAACCACTTGACATGCAAGACTAGCCATTTCCTCAGCCCCGGGTATTACGTTGGCTTAGAGAGGATGGGCCGTGTCCTCCAAACCGCCCAGTGGAGCAGGGAAGCTGTCAAGAAGGTTCTGCCTAGACTATCCAAAAGTTTTATTTCTCATGCTGGTGATGCCAGGTGATCTCAGCAGACTTACAGGAGGGGGCATAAAAGCAGTCATCCGGAATGTATTTGATAGTCCCAACCAGTAGTGGGATCCTCCCGGTTTAACAACCGGTTCGGTGATCATGCGTGCCTGATGCGCACGCCGCATGTGTGTGCACAGTTTGAAGAAATCTTCACTTCTGCGTTTCTTCGGGGGAGAAACACAACTGAAGCGTGGCAATCTGCTCTGCTGCGCGAATCAGCTGAGAAGATAAAGGTAGGAAAATAGCACGGGCAGTTGGGTGGGCCCATCTGATCGTAGGGGTGAACCGGTTTGCTGATCATGGAGCTACTGGTTCACCCGAACCGGTCCAATTCCACCCCTGGTCCCAACTTTCAGCACGGATGTCCCTCCACTTCACCTCAGTTGGACAACCTCCATTGCGTTTTGTGGTCTCTTCCGATCTCTTCATTCTTCGTTAGGGCAAAGTAATTTTCTTTGACCTGCTTATCTCTCCTTCAGCTCTGTGTCTCTTTTCCCACGTAGCCCAAAAATCCCCCACTTTTTTTTAACGTGTCACATCTGTGCCTGACAGGCTCCTGGGCCATCGCAAGGAATCTTTGAAGAATCAAAGTTTTGTTCTTGTCCCTTTGATTCCCACACCCCTATGTCTCCTAATAATGTCACTTTATTTATTGTTGTGTCTACCTTACTCCCCTTCCAAAAGTTCTCGACATCTGTTACTTGATCCCAATTAAATTATTTTCCCTTCCCTGTTCCAACTGAGGCTGTTAATTAGCACAGCAGTTAAGGCTATGCTTTTCTGCAAAGTTTTTGTGTGTGGGTGTGTGTGGTGGTGGTGGGGTGATGGATAGCATTTTGGGGGGGGGGAGCTGTTGGCTTGGGCAACAAAAGTTGTTATGGTGTTGCTTGTTAACTGGTTTTAGCAACTACTCCTGTTGTTTTATTGCAGACTTAATAGGCAGCATACAAATAACTGTTGGGCATCTTGGTTCAGTTTTTCTGACCTCACCTGTTACACCTCGGTGAGCCACATGATGCTGTTGGGGAACATTGGTGTTCCTCCATGTGGTGATGGATCCATACCCATATAGAGATCACCTGGCTAGATCTTAATTTGCGGTCTTTGTGCTACTTCTATCAAAGTTGATGATCAAGGGGAACTTTCTGATTCTCTGAAGGAATCATGCTAACTACACCAGGGATTGTACTTAGTCCTGCCTTGTGATTTTATGCCTCTACCCACAGTGCGCTATTCCAGTTTATATATTCCTTGTACAAACTAGATCTCTTTCCGCTCCAGTCTTTAAAAGTAGGAATCTCTGGATTGAGGGTGTGTTGAATTGTGTGGATTTGAGAGCCATCCTGGGCTTTGTGCAGCTGAGAGTCACAGTTCAGCAAAAATGGTGAGACCAGGATTCCAGTTTTCCAGATTGTTTTGCTCACTTCCATTCTGGGGAAGCTCTGACAACTCCAAAAAAAGACGTATGAGCAAGTCATACTTTTATTCCTGCGCGCTAAATCGGTGTCCAACTTGGCAACTTTAAGACTCGTGGACTTTCCAGCCAGTGGAAAGACGTTCTGGATCTCTGTGCTTTTTAAGTGCTTAATTTGGTTCTCTAGGTGTTTCCCCCCCCCCCCCCCCCCCGCAATATTCTGAACACCAAATTCCTTACTTTTGATATTAGAAGAGGTTACTTTAAGTAACATGCTCTGGTTTAGAATTCTCATTCTCTTCTCTCTTTCTCTTTGCAGTTGAAAGGTACTCGGGAAAAACATTTGAAAAAGGTGAGTGGTTTGGTTTTTCTCACTTGGCTGGGTCTCATTATGCAAGAAGGGCCTGTGGATAAGATGCCAAGGGGGAGCTAACACCCCCCCCCAAAAAAAAAATGGAGGAAGAATTTCCCTGATAACAAGAGCCAGGCAGGTCATGAATCCATGTGGAGTTACTCTATCCTCCACCAGTATGACTCACAAGACTGTCTCTACAAGTAGACCTCGACTTACAACCACGATTTTCTGTTGCTAAGCAAGACAGTTGTTAAGGGAGTTTAGCTCCATTTTACAACATTTCTTGTCATAAATACATGTCAGTTGCCAAGCATTCAAATTTTGATCATGTGATCACGGGGATGCTGCAATGGTCATAAGTGTGAAAAGTCCTCCCCCCCTTTTTTTTTAGTGCCATTGTAAGTTTGATCACTAAACAAGTTTGGTTGGAAATTGAGGACTACATGTACAGGATGTGCTTAGATGAAGTTCATCAGCTTTGCATTTACATATTGTTCAATGCCTGATCTTGCTGGGACTAAGCAAAGCAGGAATTAAATACAGGTCGTCCTCGACTTACAACAGTTCGCTTAGTGACCGTTCAAAGTTACACTGAAAAACGGGACTTATGACCGTTTTTCACACTTAAGACCATTGCAGCATCCCCGTGGTCACGTGATTTACCTTCGGATGCTTGACAGCTGACTCACCTTTATGGCCGTCTCAGTGTCCTGTGGTTAGATCATCACCAGTTGCAACCTTCTGACAAACAAAGTCAATGGGTGAACCAGCTTGACTTTTAACAACGGTATTAACAATGATTCACTTAGCAAACGTGGCGAGAGAAGTCGTAAAACGGGGCAAAACTCACTTAACAAATTTCTCACCTGGCAACATACATTTTGGGCTCAATTGTGGTCGTAAGTTGAGGACTACCTGTATGCCAGGAAGCTGAAGAAGACTGCAGTACGGTGTGGTCCTCCTCCTCCAGGCATATTATTGCCAGAGTGATATTTACCCTCATGGCACCCACGAGGCCCTTCCATCCTATTTACTCTTTTTTTTTTTTATGTATTAAGTAATGGCTGGCATTTTGTTGCCAATTCTTTTTTTTTTTTTTTTTAATTTGGCCCTTTTCCCAAGAACTGAGTCATCAAAAGATGTCTTTTTATTTGTGAGCTTGAAAGATGAAGCGATCTGCACTACCCTCGAAGGCCATCAGGGGTCCCCGCACTCCATCCTGGCCACTGTTGAAGGGCGAGCGCCAAGCCCGTTTTTGGCAGCTGCGTGACTGGCGCCTCTCACTCATCTTTCTTCCTGCTTTTTTTCCTTTTCTTTTTTCTTTTTTCTTCCCGCAGCCCATTTCACTTGTGCCGTTTATTTTTGTTTTAAGGGCGCCGAGCAACCACTTGATGGAAACAAATTGGATTCCATGCAGACCTGGAGCCGCATGGGCGGTGGTGACTTCGAGGTGAAGGGGGCCATCTCCCACCCGTCCATTCACCTGAGCCAGATCACAGCCAGTGACTTAGAGGTGAGCCGGGAGGGAGTGAGGGGGAGGGGATCAGCTCATGCCCCTGGGACAAACTGCGCCCTTACTTAAGATCTTGGCAAATCTGGGGCAAGAGAGGTCAGCTGTATTCATACAGTACTCTAAGCCAGCGACCCCCAATATTTTGGGCACGAGGAACTGGTTCCGTGAAGAGAGGTTTTTTCCCATGGAGTGGAGGGAGCATGGTTTTGTCATAAAAGCAAATTCTTTTAGTTAATTAATTCTTGTTGTTGTTGTTGTTTTTGCTTTAATTTATATGCCGCCCTTCTCCGGAGACTCAGGGTGGCTTACAATGTGTTAAGCAATAGCCTTCATACTTTTGTATATTTATACAAAGTCAGCTTATTGCCCCCACAATCTGGGTCCTCATTTTACCTACCTTTGAAAGGATGGAAGGCTGAGTCAACCTTGAGCTTGGTGAGATTTGAACTTGCAGTAATTGCAAGCAGCAGATGTTAATAACAGTGTGCTTTAGTCCACTGTACTACCAAGGCTCCTTGTAATGATTCAGCTTTCATGCTGTTCCTGTCTGCTGTTGGCTTTAACAGTCGCCTAGTGCTTCTAAAAGTTGAGCTCTGGGGAATTGCAGGCAGTTTTGTTTATTTCAAAGTTATCTTTATTTTACTTTTCTATCATATGTTCCCCTTACAGATCTGAATTACAAAATGCTTTTTGCTTGGCACTCCCACAGATAACACATTCTTAGTAACCTTGACTATCTAGCCATGAACTGTAGTTAGCATATTTAGAGAACCGACTAAAGGTTGCTTTCTTCTCATACTGGAAAATTTTTATTTATAAAATGGGTTGATACCTGGCATAAAAATCCAAAGAAGTGTAGCTGAGGCTTAACTGAAGTACAGTGGTATTGTCTTTTTTTTGTGTGTTTTCCTGGAAAGGGTGTGTGGTTTACATGAGCAAGTGTAAGGACCCTAAAAACACCTCCTATTAAGAGTCCAAATTTCTAGTTTTAATTTTGCTGGCTACTTTAAGAACAATAATATTCAGAAGGAAGATTTAAGACATTACAAGTTGTTTCCCTATCCTGATGATGTCCTCTCCCGCTCCTCCCAATATGGCTGTAGCTGTATTAGTTGAGAAGAGACAACAGATGCTGTTCAGCCACAAGGAGGAGGTAAGGTTGCAAAAAGCCAAATTAAGCAGTTATAAGTAGTCCTTGACTTACGACCACAATGGAACCCAAAATTTGTGATGCTGCCAAATCCAATTGCTAAGTGAGTTTTGCCCCATTTTGTGACTTTTTCTCACTACAGTTGAGTGATTTGTCGCAGTTGTTCAGTTATTAACACGGTTGATAAGTGAATCTGGCTTCCCCATTGACTTCGCTTATCAGAAGGTTGAAAAAAGTGATCACATGACCCCGGGACATTGCAGCCATCATAAATGTGAATCAATGGCCAAGTGTCTGAATTTCGATCACGTGACCCTGGGGATGCCGCAACGGTCATAAGCGTGAAAAATGGTCATATCGCTTTTTTCCAATGGCCTTGTAACTTCGAACGGTCACTAAACAGACAGTTGTAAGTCGAGGATGGACCTGTATTGAATAGGTTGAGAAGTTTTTCACCACACTCTTTCCTTTCCTGCCAGAAACCAAAGGGACCACCGGGGCCTTTGGAGCCCTCTGCCCAGACAGACAAGTCCCATCAGCGGGAGAAGTTGGAGCGCTTCAAGCAGATGTGCCAGATGTTGGAGCGGGTGAAGAACAGCAGCAGTTCCAGTTCTAGTTCGGACTCTGATTCTGACACGGATTCACGGGGCTCCGATGGTTCTAGCGGAGGGGTGTCGAGCCGAGCCAACTCCCCAACCACCCGTTCGCAGCGCTTGGCTGCCTTGGGCTTCAGTGCCAGTGAGGACGAGGAGGAGGAGGAGGAGGACGAAGAGGAGGGTGGGCGGCGCAACGGCGGCTCGGAGACGACACGTAACGGGAAGCAGCCCAAAGCTCGGGGGAACTCTCAGGAGAAAGAGAACAATCATCGCCCGTCCAGCAGGGGGAGCGAACGGGCCAAGCAGCAGGCGGGAGGCCGGAAAGCCGGCCGGCCTGCTGGACAGACAGGGCTCCGCATGGTAGCCCGGACTCAGTTTCTGAACTGGCCTTTGGTGCCGTCCCCTCCCAAGCCCCTGCTGCAGCTGGAGAGGCACGTGATCCGGCCTCCCCCAGACAGCCCTGAACCCGACTCCCTGCCCTTGGACAGCGGCTCTGACCATATCGTGCAGCGGGACATTTGGTTGGCCGTTTTCCAGTACCTCAGCTATCGGGAGCTATGCGTTTGCATGAGGGTGTGCCGGACATGGAGCCGTTGGTGAGTGAGTGACTGAGCAGAGACATTGACCTGGCAAGCTAGAGAAGTAAAAGGGGCGGGGGGGACACATACACACAACAACACAGTGGATGGTGTGGTCGACTAAGAGGGGAGAAGAGGCCGTGGGATCAAATTTGATGGCTGCCTCCTGGCCCTTTTCTTTGCAATGAATATCAGACCACAGGGCTATCTTGATCCGCTATTTGGCCGGCCTTTCTTCCAGCAGGATAGGAGGCTCGGGTTCAACAAGCACATTCTGTGAACGAATGAGGAGGCGAGGGAGAAAAATGGCAAGTGTGTATCGCAATAGCACTTAGATTTATATTCTGCTTCACAGTGCTTTACAGCCCCCTCTAAGCAGTTTACAGAGTCAGCCTATTGCCTCTAACAATCCGGGTTCTCATTTTACCGACCTCGGAAGGATGGAAGGCTGAGTCAATCTTGAGCTGGTCAGGATCAAATTCCTGGCAGTGGGCAGAGTTAGCAATAGCAATATCACTTGGACTTATATACCGCTTCACAGTACTTTTACAGACCTCTCTAAACGGTTTACAGAGTCAGGATATTTGCCCCCAACAATCTGGGTCATCATCATACTCGCCTCAGAAGGATGGAAGGCTGACTCAACCCTGAGCTAATGAGATTCGAACTGCCAAACTGCAGCTAGCAATCAGCTGAAGTAGCTTGCAGTACTGCACTCTAACCACTGGGCCACCACAGCTCATATACCCAATCAATTAAATTTAATTGATTTTAAATTGGGTTTGTTTTAAACTGCGGCCAAAAATATTTAATTATTTTAAACTGTTCTTAAATTTTGTATGTTTTGTTTTTATTCTGGCTGTTCACCGCCCTGAGTCCTGTTGGAGAAGGGCGGTATACAAATTGAAACAAATAAATAAAATAAAATAAAATAAAATAAATACCCAGAAATCCATGAAGAGGCCAACTGTTAATGGAATTAAAAACTCACAAATGAAGGCAAAAAAGCACGTGTCCCAGGATAATATTGGGAGTCAGTTACCGGGACCAGAGATTTAATCTTCCGAGATTTCAGATCGTGCTGGGACTCATCCTCAGGTGAACAGAAAGGTGAGAGAGAAGTTCCCCAAGGATGGGGGTTCCAGCACAAGTCCAAAAGCTCAGAAGATTAAACCTCTGGGCCCGGTGATCGACCCAGATTGGATTCTGCAACATTAAAAACTGGCAATTAACATGGAGGTTACAGAGGTACAATTTATATGCATGCACCAGGGAGTTCTGCACTGCACATCTTGGCAGGTTAGTCCCTGAGCTGTTTTGTGCATCATGTCCCATGTGACCCTCGGCATTCTCCTCCCTAAATACCAAAAAAAATCACCATTTATTCAGGGTAGCCGTCTCTGTACGGAATGAGTTCTCTCCATACTGAAAAACTTCCCATGTCAGAGTTGAAGACTTATTTCTATAATCATAGGTCATAAAATATAAATGCTTCTGCTCCAGTTTGACCTCAACACAGTGGTGAAAACGTAAAATTTGTTACTGCCGGTTCAGTGGACGTGGCTTTGGGGGAAGGGGGGGTGGTAATGTGACTGGATGGGCGTGGCCAACTTTTTTTTTTTTACTTTTTTAAAGCATTTTTTACAACCTATTTGGGCGAATAGGTTGTTAAAAAATGCTTTTAAAAGGTTAAAAAAAGGCTCTGACGATCACGCGGCACAGCTGTGATCGTCACAGCCTTTTTTTACCTTTTAAAAGCATTTTTTTTTACAACCTATTCGTCCAAATAGGTTGTAAAAAAATGCTTTTAAAAGGTTAAAAAAAGGCTCTGATGATCACAGCTTTGGCACGCGGTCATCAGAGCCTTTTTTTTACCTTTTAAAAGCAGGAAGGAATGACACCCGGGCAGGTGGGCGGAGCCTCACGCTGCCATCGCTACCAGTTCTCTGGAGCATCTGACACAATCGCTACCGGATCGCCCGATCCTGTCCGAACCGGGAGCATTTCACCCCTGCCTCAACAGCATCGTACAAATAGATAAAGGCAATCTTCCATGTACCTACCTCTGAGCAACTTCATGCTCCCTCAGAATATAAGTATGCTGATTAATGAATCAAAGCTTTAATTGAGGGATACGTAACTTTTACCCAGGTGGCTCTGTTTGCATTTTGAACGGTATGTCAGAGGCCACACACCCCAGTAACAGATGGGACCAGGACAAAAGTTACCGGTGTTTATTTTTTTTTAAAAAAAATTATGGGTAATGTATTTATTTTGTACATTTTATTAGATTGATTCGACCATTTCAAATGCATGGGAGGCTAACCATATTAAAAGTAGGTAAAAAGTGTACGTACACACAAACACATATATATATATGTATACATAACAAACACATATACACACACATACATCTACACATCATGTTTTCCCGAAAACAAGAGCCTGTCTTACATTTTTTTGAACCCTGAAATAAGCGCTTGGCCTTATTGCCATGTGCTCAAAAGCCCAATTGGGCTTATTGTCAGGGGATGTCTTATTTTGGGGGAAACAGTGTATATATGTGTGTACGTATGTATGTATGTATGTATGTATGTAGCAGTTCAAGCAATGGAACCAGCAAACTGCAGAAGTGGTGAGAGACCTTCAGTGCATGCATTCAAATGGAGGCTGGACAATCATCTCTCTGGGTTGCTTTCATTTGGATTCCGCTGCTGAGGAATCAGAAATACAGGTAGTCCTTGACTTAAAACAGTTTGTTTAGTGACCATTCAAAGTTACAACGGCACTGAAAAAGGGAGACTTATGACTGTTTTTCACAGTCACGGCCTTTGCAGAGTCCCCATGATCATGTGATCAAAATTCAGATGCTTGGCAGTCATGTGTATGACTGTGACTGTGTCCCAAAGGTCACGTGATCAATTTTTGCGACCTTCTGGCAAGCAAAGTCCGCGGGGAAGCCAGATTTACTTAACCAGCTGCTGTGAGTCACTTAACAACTGGCCAGAAAGGTCGTAAAGTGGGGTGGGGTGGGGGGGAGTCACTTAACAAATGTCTTTCTTAACAACAGACATTTTGGGCTCCGTTGTGGTCGTAAGTCGAGGACTATCTGTAATTCTTTCTGACTCTTAACGATTCTGGAGCTTAGTGAATCATTGTCTCCTTTTGGCCTTCCTTCCCTCCTCCCAGGTGCTGTGACAAGCGGCTTTGGACGTACATCGACTTGAGCCATCGGAAATCTATCACTCCCTCCATGCTGAGCGGAATCATCCGAAGACAGCCAGCCAGTCTTGATCTGAGCTGGACCAACATCTCCAAGAAGCAGCTAATGTGGCTCCTGAACAGGTTGCAAGGTATATTTGGGGACGAATTGGGGGGAGGTGGGAGGCTTAAGGGGGAGAGAGATGAGGTGGTAGCCAACGCTTTCCTTCTTTTGAGCACTTATATTTTATTTCCAAATCCAGTTGTTTCAAGGGTTTGACAATTCTGCAAAACTCCCAGATGCCATCCAGAGATTTTTTTTTAAAAAAAGACAGCTCTGGCCAAAATCACTACAGGTAGTCCTTGACTTAGAACCATTCATTTAGTGACCGTTTTAAGTTACAACGGAACCGGGAAAAGTGACTTATGATGGGTTTTCTCACTTAACAACCATTGCTAGCCTCCCCGTGGTCACATGATCAAAATTCGGATGCTTGGCAGTTGTCTCGTAATTACGACGTAATTGCAGTGTCTAAGGGTTCTGTCATCCCCTTTTGCGACCGTCTGACAAGCAAAGTCTCAGTGGGGAAGCCAGATTCACATGAACAAACTTGTGACTAACTTAACAGCGGCAGTGATTTTACTTAACAACCGTGGCAAGGAAGGTTGTAACACGGGGCAGAATTCATTTAACAGATGTCTCGCTTAGCAACAAATTTTGGGCTCTGTTGCGGTCGTAAGTCGAGGCCTAGCTAGAGGGAAGCCAAATCTCACCAGATTTGAATTCCATTTGGAACAAGGGTGTGCTTGAATCAAGAAATGCAAATTCCAAAGGTTATCCCAGAGAATTCAACTCCGCATATTTATTTAAGGAAAAGTGAATCCAGTGTCTTTGTTTGAACCTGAACGAAGTTCTCAAGGGCCCTCTCTCTTTAAGTTGGCTTAACCCTTTAGGATTGGGGGAGGCATTCGCGATCTGAAGACCCTGCCCTTCGTGTTAATCTGGATGTAAGAAAAGGCAATCGAACAGTCTCGAGGCTTTAAAGGGACAGATAGCCAGAATTTCTGGGCACAGGAAATTCTTAATTTGAAACAAATTCAAGAAGCAAAGAACCTGCGCCAGGCTAATTTCCACTGCAGTGATGACCCTAGATGTCCTAATTCAAATGACAGCTTGGGAGAGGGGGGGGGATGGAAACTAATCAAGGAGAGAAGCAACCTGGAATTAAGGAGAAACTTCCTACCAGTGAGGACAATCAAACAGTGGAACAGCTTGCCTTCAGAAGCTGTGGGTGCCCCATCGCTTGAGGTTTTTAATAAAAAATGGAATGAAATGGAATAGAAGCCAAGAGACGAACCTATGGCACGTGTGCCACAGGTGGCACGTGAAGCCATATTAGTGGGCATGCGAGCGTTGCCCTAGCTTATCTCCAGTGCGCATGTGCACACAGGCCAACTGATTTTCAGGCCTTCTGGGCCCACTGGAAGTTGGGAAACAGGCTGTTTCTGGCCTCTGGGGAGTGGGGAAGGCCATTTTCACCCTCCCCAAGCTCCTAGGAAGCCTCTGGAGCCTGGGGAGGGCAAAAAATGGGCCTACCGTGCCCACCGTGCCATCATGTGCTAAAAGCAGGGCGAGCGCGGGAGGGGTTGCGCACGCATGCGCAGGGAAGCTGGGCACATTGAATTATGGGTGGGGGTCACATGCGCGCGCGACTCCCCCCCACTCCCCCTGCTTTTGGCACGCGACAGCAAAAAGGTTAGCCATCCCTGGACTAGAGTAAAACTTAGTTGTCACTTTAAATGTAAACTAATCAACATACATCAAAATGAAATTTCGTTGCATTCAGCTCTCAAAAGATAACCATTGTGCATAAACCCACATACACACACATATATGACACAGAAAATATCACAGTCTAGTTTGAGTGTATACATATACACGGCGAAAAAAAAAGGAATCCTGTGAATTTACAAGATGGATGGCATAAGGACTGGACAGTCACTTGTGTGAAATAGCATAGGGTCTCCTGTTTGTGCAGCGCTTTGGACTAGAAGACCTCGAAGGGCCCTTCCAGCTCTGTTCTGTTTGATTGGTTGAGAACACTGCTGCTTTGCCAAAACCACAATAAATAATCTTAAGCTATCTGTGTGGACAGGGAAGGTTTGATAAGGTTTAATAGCTCTAAATCCTGCGATTTTTTTCCTTTTCCACTTGCATCCTCTCAAGTGGAGCCAGGGAGGTGGCATGTGGCTGAGAACTTAGTCTTAACGTAGCTCGCGCAGCTCAGTTGTAGGAAGGGGTGGAATTTGAGGACAACAGCAAAACCAGGACAGCCATTTTGATTTGTGGGATAAAGATAAGGATTAACCCACAAAAGTGAGAAGAGCATTTCCGGAAACATCGTATAGCAGGGATCCCCAACCTGTGGGGTGCACTAGTGGGCTGTGACTGATTTGCAACTGCGCCATGGAAATAGCCGAGCATATACGTGTGCACACTTCATTTGTGTGAGTGGCAGATGCGTGTGCACGCTGCTCATGTAAATGGAGCTGCACACACACTTGCTTGCCGACCATTTGCCTGAGCTATCCCCGTTCCCCCTCCCCCCGCCAATCCACAAAGCAAGAAATGTTGGGGAACTCTGTTGTATACGACAGGATGTGATCTGGGAGGCAGGAATCAAAACTTTGGGGTGGAAAGGTGAGTTCATGGTGGGAATACAGGGGAAGGAGCCATGGGGCGGGGGTGGTTAGGAGCAGAGAGAAATAGCTTGTTTGTAAGGTTCTCTTTCCCCCCACTTAACGTTCTCTTCTCCCAACAGGCCTTAAGGAGCTCATCCTAACAGGCTGCTCTTGGTGCTCCGTGTCGGCCCTCGGCACCGCCAACTTCCCCTCCCTACAGCTCCTAGATTTGCGTTGGATTGAGGATGTCAAGGATTCTCATCTCCGTGAGCTGCTTTTGCCTGCCACGGATGCCAAGCCTGGTAAAGCTACCTGTACTGGAGGGAATGATCTCTAGGACAGAGGGAGGGCAGGGATATCTGAGCAGCTATTTTACCACCTTTTCTTCCCATCCCAAGGAAGTGGAAAAGCCTGCCAGGTAATCCATAGGTACCCTCCGGCACCCCCTTTCCATTCCCCACAGCAAAGAAGTTTCGTAAGATACCTAGATGTGAGAACGGCTGAAATCTTGCGGGATGTTGACATTGCTGCATGAAATCTCTCAAGGCTTTGCCGATCTTTAAAAGCGGTTGTTGAGGCAGGCTGAACGTAAGCCTCTAGAAAAATTGTCAGCACCTGCTCCGAGTTGACCAACATTGGCTGTACTCAAAACAGTGCACTGAGTTTCAAACTAGCCGTTCCCGTTTTAATCTCTCCTATCTCACAACACAGCCCATAATAGGGGCAGTTTATGATTCAGAGTGTTAGGTGGACCTTTGTATCAAGTTGTTGGGAAACTGTCAAGCACCAGAGAAGTCAGGAGATCCAGGCAGTTCAAATAGGTATAAAGAGTTTTTGTAAATTTAAGCGCTCTACAAGAATCTATTAACAGCTAAAGCAATTTGATGGTAAATAAGGAATTCGTGACGATCTGGATTTAGATAATCTTGTGGGTGGCAAAGGGACTCATGACTAATGACACGTTTGACCCCTCCCTCGGGCTCAGCCTGGTCATCTCCTACAGGTATGGTAAAATCAAAAGGAATGATTGGGATCATCTAGTGAAGTCCTCTGCGACATGCAGGTGAACCAATTAAACCAAGGGAAGTGGCTTGTCCATCCTCTTCTTCAAAAACTCTAGAAATGGAAAATCCATAGATGTGCAGATCTTGCCACCAAGATGTTTCTCCTTATACTTAGACAAAACGTATGTCGATTATTCTGCAAACCTTCTGGTCTACCACAAGACTTGGAGTTTATCACTTCTGGCATAGGATTGCCTGCAATCTCCACTCCAGCTATTGTGTCTCAGAAATCTCTCAGCTCCTATAGGGGCCTTTGGTGCACTGCAGGCTGGAGTAGCCCAGTCTGAATTCTTGAACTGTGAACTGGGGTGTCCCAGGATTGAACAGCTGCAGATGCTGCTGCTGCTGCATGTTTACTTGAGGCACCAAGCCCAGAGTCCATTCCATGTCCTGAAGAGCCTTCAAGTTTGGGCGGCTAAAACTGCTAGAGATGGCTAGCCTGAAGCTCCCTCAGCACGTGTGAGATTTCACTCGCCCAGCAGCTGCTGTTGGCAGGTGTCTGAGGGAGGCAGCAGGGCAGAAAATCTCCTTTCATGGCCCTCCTGTAGGGAAGAGGTGAACAAGGTGGGAGAAGGCCAAGAGGATCCTTCCCTGCATTGCCAGTTGAGTGCTTCCAGGCTGGGAAGCTTCTGCAAAGGCAGCATTGCACTGGAGATCCTTTTGCCTGGAGTCCTGCCAGAGCACGGCAAAATCTTCATGGACACTGAGGAACATCCCAAATTCATTCTGTCAAGAAGCAGTTTGAGGGCATCCAATACGTCTGGTTTGGAGAGAGCCGGGTGGCCTCTTCATTTTAGGAAAGAAAATCTGATGGACTCCATGGTCGTAGTCCAGGGGTCAGCAACCCGCAGCTCTTGAGCCGCATGTGGCTCTTTCATCCCTCTGCTGCGGCTCCCTGTTGCTGGTCGGCTCCACAATTGATAGGGCTTTTGGATAGGACAGGCAGAGGAAAAAGGACGCCATGCTAGGTAGGAGGAGACAGTGATAGGGGAATTGGACTTCCAGTCGGCTCCAAAATTGAACGGGGGCTTCCAGTTAGGACCTTTGTGGCTCTTTGAGTGTTTAAGGTTGCCGACCCCTGTCCTAGTCTCTCCAGTGAAACAAATGTGTGTTGTTTGCCCAAGCCTGTTAAAATAAGCTTTTTAACTAAGTCATGCACCTGCCATTCAGGGCAAAGGTCCCGGCTTTTCCCGTGAGGATCATTCCCCTCTCTATTCTCACCCTGCTAGGCCAGACAGACAGCCGGGGCCGACTCCAGAATGTCTCTGAACTACGGCTCTCCGGACTGGACATCACAGACGCATCTCTGCGCTTGGTAATCCGGCACACCCCTCAGCTTGCCAAACTGGACCTGAGCCACTGCAACCATGTAGGTGACCAGTCTGTTAACCTGCTGACCGCTGCTAATTCTCCACTCCGAGAGACCCTCGCTGAACTCAACCTCACCGGTGAGTTCTTTTTTTCTTTTCTTTTTTTTCCTTCCATGGCACGCTTGCAACCCTGTTTTTCTCCTGTCGCCCCTTGTCCAGGTCCCATTACCAGATAGGGTCTTTGGATGATATTGGTAGTCCTTGATTTAAGATCACAATTGGAACTGGAGCTTCTGCTGTAAATTGCTGCAGTTGTAAGTCAAGCCAGACCCAGTTTTACAGCAATTTTTATGGAAGTCGTTAAGCAAACCTCATGGTTATTAAACAAATCTGCTTAACAACCATCATGACTTAAAACCGTGATTCTAGACACAATTATGGTCATAGATTGAGGATTACCTGTGGTGGCGGTGACATTGTCCCACCGTGCCACTCATTGTCTATGTTCCTAAGAATGTGCCTGTTACTAATTTGTTGAGGCGAATTGTCTTTCCCCCTATAAAAGCAGCCCTAATTCCTGTCCAGTTTCCTTAGCCAGGCCCCATCTCCCCACAGCAGGATCTGCTATCTTGTGATCTCAGAACATGGTCTCAAACCATTGTTATTTCATGGCCTCCTGTTCTGGAGGACCCTTGGTGATGCAGAGGTTAGAATGCAGTATTACAGGCAAACTCTGCCCACAGCCTGGAGTTTGATTCTGATAGAGCTTAGCGTTGACTCAACCTTCCGTCCTTCCAAAGTCAGTAAAATGAGGACCCAATTGTTGACAGCAATATCCTCAGAGGTGGTATTCAGCCAGTTCGGACCAGTTCACCCGAATCGGTAGCAGAAATCATGGGTGGGCCAACACCCACCCCACCCCACCCCGGCTCTATGCCATCCTATTTAGGCATGTTTTTGAGGCCCGGCGCATGCGTGGAAGCAAGTGTGTGTGCGCAGGGCGAACCAGTAGTAGCATAATATGAAACCCATTGCTGAATATACTGACTACATAAACTGCTTAGAGAACGCTCTAAAGCAGTGGCCCCAAACCTTTTCGGCACCAGGGACCAGTTCCATGGAGAGAGGTTATTCCATGGACCGAAGGGGTGTGTGGTTTTACATGCTGCCTGCATCCCACAGATGGGGATTCACTTGTTTGCGCGGACCTGTTTCTGGCATGCTGCAGACAGTGCTGGTCCACAGACCGGGGGTTGGGGACCCCTGCTCTAAAGAACTGCGGGGCGGTATATACCATAAGTCTTATTGCTATTCCTTCTTCCTGCCCTGACAGGATGTAACCGGCTGACGGATCAGTGTCTGCCCCTTTTCCGCCGCTGTCCACGCCTCTCCCGTATCGACCTGCGTTCCTGTCACCACATCACGACGGAGGCCTGTGCCCGATTTGCCGAGGACTCGGTCTCCAACAGCGGCGCCGTGCCCCCCGCCCCTGGCGCATCCTCACCTCCTTTTCGTTGCCCCGAGGAGAAATTGCTGCTGAAGGACAGCTAATACTCGCCCTGGGGTGGAGGCGCAGAAAGACTCAACTTCACCAGTCCGACCGTCGGACACGGACTCTGAGAGAACCTTTTTACTTAAAGCCATGCACTGAACCGGAGTGGCATCTCCACCCCCTTACTTGTGCAGCAAAGAGGGTGCGGGCGGGGGGGGGAGTCGTGCCCCCTTCCCTGGGCCTGGCCCGCTGTGGGCCGGGTGGCCTTTTGCTCCATCCACTTGTTCCTGGACAGCCGCGGAGTAAGTGGGGGTCCGGGGTAGCCTTGTCGCTTTACAATGCTGGGGAAATGTGTTCCTCCCACCATGCACTGCATCCTCCCTCCCCCTCCCCCGCTTCCAAATATCCTTCCGTGCCACCATTGGTATACCCCGTTATCTCGGGGCGGCAGGGGAGGGCGGGAGTTGACATTCAGTCTTGAAATGCTGGCTCGGGAGGAAGGCAGCTTCTTTGATGGGGTCGGAAAGATTACGTTTTTCCAGGCCTGTTCCTCGTCCAATGCAAATGTGCACTCCAACCTCATCAGTCCTCCCCCCTCCCACATGCTGCCTTGATGATTTTTAAAGGGTGCGTGCGTGCGTGTGTGTGCTTGTCAGCCTGCCCACCCAGTTCCTTTTCCTTTCTTCCCCAGTTGTGCATCTGCAGTGTGGTTTTCCAAGGGGGCCAAGCAAGAACCAGGCAGCTGATTTCCGAATTCCTTTGCCCTGTCTTTTCCCACTGTGTACCTGCTGGGGCTCCCTCCTGCCTCTACCGCTGTCTCTTTCCCACAGCACTGGATAGTTTCTGGAGCCGGCACATCCATTTGATCTGCTTCCTGCATCGGTGCCCTTTGTACCCCTAATTCTCTCCTCGCCCATCAATTGGAGGCAGAAAACATCTCGATAGGTATCTTTCCCTTTAGATTCTCTTCTCCTTGCTCTCCCTCCCAGCCGATCCCAGTATGCAGCTGAGGCCTCCTGGGGATGCAGCCCTGCCAAATGTTGACACACACCCCTCCCCGGTGCCTCATTGAATGCCCACACCGTGAAACACATGTGCTGCGTTCTATACGCAGAGTGTACCTGCTGCTGTCTTGTTTACGCATTTAAACCTACATATGCATGCGCTCGCAAGCCACACATGTGGACGGAGTCCCTCGCCAAGCTTTAGGCTTCTCCTCCTTTGCCAAGTTAAGTTTCATCACACACACACACACACACACACACACACACACACACACACACACACGTCAGTGTGTGCCTTCACTGCTTTTGACCAGTGTGGATAGCAGGTGGGGAAATAAGAGTTTTGCTCACGGAGCAGAGGGACAAGGCAGAATGCTTTGTCGAAAAGAAAGGAGTAAACTAGCATGTGTGAAAGGGAGGCCCTAAACTTCCTGTCTCACGGGGCCTGTGTTGGGATCCTTCTTGGAGGAAAGTCCTTAAAATCAGCGCTTCCCTCTCCCTCCAAGCCCCCTCAGCCCTCGGGCAACGTGTCTTCTCAGCACAGTGTTTCTCAGCTATTAAGATGTGCGGACTTCAACTCCCAGAATTCCCCAGCCAGCATGAATTCTGGGAATTGAAGTCCGCACATCTTAAAAGTTTCCGAGGTTGAAAAACACAAGTCTACAGTATTGTTTCAGGTCGCTGGGCTGTTCCCAGAGGAAATTCCCTCCCAGGCTGTTTTCATCCCACCTTGGCAGGCTGGATGGATCCTGCAGCTCTTTTCAGCTCTGTTGTTCCACCTTCTGTGGAACCCCTTTTCCACAAGGCTTCCTAGCACTTCTTCCAAGAAGCATCCTTCCTTCCTTCCTTCCTTCCTGTTTCTCCTCTCTTTGAAATCTTCCTTTTAGACTCTGGACAGAAAAGTCCATGCAGCTTCCCCTTTCTTGGTTTTTAATCTTTTGGACCATATGCTTTAATAACCACTTTGGGGACAGGGGGAGCAGGGAAGGAGGTCTGCCTGCATTCCTTACCCACAGTGCCAACTATTGTTGAGCAGGAGTTGGCCGGCCCTTCTCTTAATTCCGGCCGCTCTCCGCAGCCTCCGAATCTCAAACTTGAACCTCCCCTATCCAGATGTTCGGGTGTGCATGTGTGTGTGTGTGTGTATTTGCTTGGGTATGTATGCATGTGGGATCCTCCCCCTCTCTATTTTCTTTTAAAGGTGTGGGGAGAGAAATACTGTAGAAAAGAAAAGTGGTGCAAATCGAATGTCCTGGACCGACGCAGGGCCTGCTCTCGGTCCTTTATGCTCCTTCTGCTTGGAGGCGGGGAGCACGTTGCTCAATGCTGCTCTCTCCGTCCCTTTGGCCACGTTCGTCTTTTTGGGGTCAGGTGGGGACTCATTCTCTCCAAAAGGTGCCCAATTCTGTCCATTTCGCTTTCACTCTTTCATTTCTTCTGTCCCGTCTCTGTCTTTCCCACCATCCCATTTTATTTTATTATTTTATTTTATTTTATTTTATTATTTTATTTTATTTTATTATTTTATTTTATTTTATTTATTTTATTATTTTATTTTATTTTATTTTATTATTTTATTTTTTTATTTTATTTTATTTTATTATTTTATTTTTTTATTTTATTTTATTTTATTTTATTATTTTATTTTATTTTATTGCCATCCTTTCATCTTGCTAGAAATGGTCTGGACTGGATCAGGGAAGTACAGCAAAAGAAATCATTCATCCAGTCCAGAAACTCTCCTCTCTTGGCTAGAATGGGGTTTGTTTTTGTTTGTTTTTCCAAAAAGCCCTTCTTTTCTCCCTTCCTCTTCTCTTCCTCCCTTTTCTTCTCTTTCTCTCTCTTTCTTTTTCCTCCCTCACCCTTCCCGCCATCCTTCTCACCCTGTGCTTCATCTGGATTTTCAGATGGCATCAGGCACGCACCAATTTTCTGTGCACGTTGTGGAGGGGAGGATGGCACAAGACTGATTTACAATTTGGTCACTTATCTTCTTTTTTTCTTTTTCTTTTAATATATACTTGAACGTTCATTTATTACTAAAGCATTACTTGAAAAAAAAACGCAGCGATAGCTTGTGGAATCGGAGGCGAGGTTTTCGGTGTTGGGTTGTGTTTTTTTTTTATTATTATTTTTACGGTTCTGTTGGGTGCTTTTTTTATTGTTTTAAGAAAATTGGTTTCGTTGTTTCCTTTTTTATTTTTATTTTTATTTTTTTTCATTTGTCTGATTCAACAAAAGTCCTTCCCTCTCACTCCATTAACCAAAGAGGGCCAAGGTATCTTAATTTTTTTTTCTCCTCCAACTCCATTTCTGGAGAATTTTTTTGTTTTTTTGTTTTTTGTTTTGTTTTCCTTCTGCCTAGGAGTATTTTCTCCTTTACTCACAACTCTTACAGAGCAAGTATTAAACGATTTTGAGGAGTGGAGTCTTTGGGGCTACGTTTGGGTGGAAATATTATATATTTGAGGGAGGGTGTCAGTGGGTCTTTTCCAGATCTTATGGCACAGCATAAATATGTACTGTATGGCCTGTCCTCAATTTAGTGGTCCTGCCCGCGTCCCATTCCCACACTCCATGGTGCAAACAAGGAAACTGGGTTTCATTCCACACAACCAGCATCCTCGTTGGTTTGGGGCCTCCACTCTTCATGTAAAAGGAGATGTATACACTAAGAGGGAAGAGCCATCTAACTCCAGATATTTGGGGTGGGAGATGGGGCTTCCATGGTGACCCTCCCGTCATCTGCTTCCCCTTCTCAGAAGAGAGTGGCAGCAGCCAAGGGAAGTGCTCTTTCCAAGCATATCTTTTGAGGTTTGTTTATTTTTTTTAACCATTGTTTTTTTTTAATGGATGTTTTAACTCTTGAAAAAAAAAAAGAAAAGAAAAATACCTCAGGTTTTAAAAAGAAACGGTGAAGAGTGAGAGGGGAAAATGTGGGAATGCCATCCAAGGGTTGCATTACTTTTCTAGGGCAAGGGTGTGCAGTTACGGCCCTTTTACGACCCATGAACTTCAATTCCCAGAATTCCTGAGCCAGCCATGTTGACTGTGGAATTCTGGGAATTGAAGTCCACGGGTGGTAAAGGGGCCATCATTGCCCACTCCTGCTCTAGATTGCTGCTTTAGGGACTGCACATGTTGGGCGGGAAGCCCACTGGATCAGCGTGGAGAGGCCTCCATGGCTCAGTGCTGGGTAGAGATGGACACAAGTGATTGCTCTCCCTTCCATCGCCCTAACCCTCACCTCAGTTTTCCTCACCCATTATCACTCCAAAGACAGGCGCTTGCATCAGGGTGCAGGCCCGTCTCTCAATCCCAATGGAAAAAGGAACATGGAGAAACATGTCCGGTGTCTCCCCCACCCCCCCCCCCCCCCCCCCCCCCGATGTAGCTTCAGAAAGTATTCCAAGACTCCCATCAACCTTGAACCTCAGGTGTGTTGGAGTCTACGTCCTGGTGTTTCCAACCAGCCTGTTTGTTGGCTGCAAGTGGTAGATGTTGTGGTCAACCATCCCTTAGAGAAGATCGAGTTGGGTAAGGCTGAGCTATTCCATAGGTCTCCTCCCCCCCGCCCCAAAGAAACACACGCACAAACACACCCACACATCCCCCTCAACTCAGTGGACCAAAGCTCTATTTCCACCGCCACCATCATCTCCCACCGATCAATTGTTTATCCTCCAGCTACAACTTTTAATCTTCCATAGACTTATTGCTCCTCACCTAGAAATTGAGACAAAGACTGCTGGGGATGGGAAAGGAAGCAAGGGGGGGGTGGTGAAATAAAAATGTAAAAATCCAATTTTTGGAGCGATGCGTCTCCGTGATGTTTGACCACCTACATATCTCCATCCCGGCCCCTTGGGACTCTACAAATGGGGAGGGAGGGGGACGTGAGACCAGGTTCCAATCTGAATTTCAGGGGTTCTATTATTGTATAATAACTGTTTGCTATATAAACAAAAAAAAAAAATATCAAAAAACCGAAAGTGTTTTGATCTTAAAAGCTTGTTTTTCATTATTCCCTACCCCCCCCCTTTTACACACATATCATGCACATTCAAACATATATTCAATTCTATCTCCTTGCAAAAGAAATGTTGTGAATAAAAAAAAATATATGTTTTGGGGGGAATGTTAATTATTTTCTTTTTTTAATTTTCGATGGGTTTCTATTTTATATTTTCTGGAAATATTTTTTTATAAACTCTTCTTTTGGTTTTTTCAAAGGTTTTATTTTGTTTTGTTTTTTTTCGTTTCTGTTATTGTTAGCAATGCTTCCTTGAGGGTTCCTGTTTCGGGGGTGATGGTACAAGGGGTACCTTTAATCAGTTAAATTAAAATTGAAGGAAAGCCTTAGGTGTGAATCGGTACCCCAATTCTTTAAGGGGTGCCTGTGTTAAATTTCTGTAATAGTTGTCATTTGCAGTAAGAGTCACAACATGAGATGAAAAGATTCTCCATATTATATTTGCACCAAAATTAGGCACTTCTCAAGGAAAATTTAAAAGAGGAGGGCAAGAGAACCAGTGAGATACAAGCTCTTGTTTTGGATTAAATGTGTGTCTTGAAAAGAGCCAAGGATGATGGACAAAGCATCCTTTTCTCACAACAGCCTTCTGGGGATAGACTGGAATGACAGCTGCTACTGCAGTGTAGCTTAATTCATTGTAGGAACAATTAGAAGCACCCCTCTCTTTGGCCTTAGTTCTATGGGCTGGACGTGTTCGCATGTTTAGCCTACCCACATATTAATCATGATTTTATCAAGTCGGATGTTCTGGATTGGCAGTGTATCAAAAAGGAGTAAAGGCAGGTTTTGTTAACTCCAGGCTGTGATCAGTTAGTTCAGGGTAAGAAAATTGAACCAGTCTTACAGACTTGATTAGATTGTGTACCGGCAACATCCCCTCCATCTCATTTGTGATTTGGTCCCATAAATAAGTTAAAATGGCTTGAGATCCAAAGATCTGACTAGGTTCCCCAAAGGACACTACTATTTTGACATTTTCACTTGTCTACATTAAACTAACCGAGACAATAGAAAGTGGAGTTGTGAAAGTCACCTGTTCATATTGAGGCTAGTTTCTAACCATGTTTATCTTTGTCCTAGCCCTCGAAGTCCAAAGAACGAATGAAAGAGTCCTAACGTTGAATGCTTCTTGTCCAGAGTCGCTAAGATGGTCTGGAGGCCAATTGAAAGTTAAATTAGCAAGACCCATCTTGAAATGTTTCCCTACCATCCACCCTAATTACAAGTCTTAGCAGAACCTGGCTTGTATTTTTACAATAGATTAGAGCTGGAAGAGACTTTGTTAATCTAACCAGGGGTGTCAAACTCATCACGTGATCACGTGGCGTATCATGATTTTCCCCCTCTTCACTAAACTGGGAGGGCATGGCCAGTACATCTGGTCTGCGGGCCGCAAATTTGATACCCCTGCTCTAGCTAATCCCCTCCTCAAGCAGGAGACCCTATACCAGTGATGGCTAACCTTTTCCGGACCAAGTGCCCAAAGCATGAATGTGTGCATGGCCGAACCCCCAAAATGCAATGCATGTGTGGCCCCATCTCTGTGCATTTGTGCACAGGGGATCTGCATACACCCTGCCCCCCTGTGCATGCATGCATGGCCCCCCACATGTACTCTCCATGCATACATGGCAGAGACCTGAAGACCAGCTGACCGACGGGAGGTGCGCGCGTATGTGTGGCAGAGCTGAACTGGGGCAACGGCTCGCATGCCCACAGAGAAGGTGCTATGTGCCATCTCTGTCATGCGTGCCATAGGTTCGCCATCACGGCCCTCTACCATTTCAGACAAGTGGTTGCCCTTCTTAAAAACCTGCAGTGATGAAGCACCCACAACTTCTGAAGGCTAGCTCTTCCCCTAGTTGATTGTCCTCACAGTTAGGAAGTTCCTCCTTAGTTGCTTTTCTCCTAGATTAGATTCCATCTATTGTTTCTTCTCTTGCTTTCTAGTGCTTTGTCAAGTAAGTTGACCCCCTCTTCTTTGTGGCAGCCTTCAAATATTGGAACACGGCTATCATGTTATCCCTAGTCCTTTTCTCTAGACTAGCCAAACCCAAATCCTGCAACCGTTCATACGTCTTAGTCTCCAGGTCTTGAATCATCCTAACTGCTCTTCTCTGCACTTTTTCCAAAGTCTCAAACATCTTGTAATGTGGTGACTGAAACTGGATGTATTGATGGTTAGTTGATTGATGGATAGACTGGACAGGTTTGGTCCAGGATGGTATAAGGTCTCCTGCCTTGAACCTGGAGGCTGGACTAGATCCAAGGTCCCTTCATTCTATGCTCTATGGGTGAGAACAGGTGGTGCAGTTGTGGCCAACATAGAAATGGTTGCAAGTGTGCCAAAAAACCAAGATTCTAGTTGAAAGGGGTTTAAAACATAGCAATAATCCTCTTTAAATTTCTTACCATTAGTTGTGTGATGCTTTGGCAAGGCTTGGCTTATTACTATCATTTGCA